ATCCCAGACACCCATTAATACATTTCACCCGAAACAGTGGCTGGTCCATTATAAGTAACTCTTGGTACCTTCAACTAGTGAGAGTCCACCTTTATACATACCTCGTGGATTCGTGAGTTTATTGCCTCCAGTCTGGGCAGTAGCTGACTCAGCTCCTGTTCCATACCGACCTCGGCGTCTGACAGAACGGGGGACTTCGATTCCAGCTGACACAGCAACCTCTCCATCCTTTGCATTCAAAGAGATGTGGGTAAAACCCTGTGATTCCGGAACAATCTTCTCACCTGTTGAGTAGCTGTGCTCCTCTCTTCTGTACAACGTAGAGTTTTTCTCTCGTGTTTTCACAGATTTCGACTACTTCGGTGCAGTCGTCTCTCAAGACCATCAGATCTCTTAGCTGCTGTTCCTTTTGACTTCGCAGTATCTCCAGTCTAGTACATAATAATTATACAGAGTGAGAGATAGAAATAGCTACCTCCCCTACACACCGCAATGGGTAAGAGGTAGAAATGGATGGATATTATGCATGCGTCTCTTGTTATCAATTCCACAATCCTAAAAGTATGCAGTTATAGGTACAACCCAACCCAACCAAACCCAATTACAAATGTATATACAACCCACAATTTGTAGATGCTAGCAATCAGGGAGAGCAAACAACAGTTTGTGTAGCAGACCTGTGCTGTATTGCGGCTTTGACTTTCTGCTGGGGCAGGAGATAATTCTCCCTCATAGCCTGCATGCAGCGCTGGAGGTATTTGAAACATTCCTGTTGAGTGGGCGTGGCCGACTTCGGCCCCAGGTAAGAGAGAGGGTCCGCGTGATCAGAGTTCAAGAGGTCACGGATGACTTTTTCGAAACCACCTGCCTCTGGTTTCACTTGTGGGTGTGGCCTTGTGGGTGTGGCTTCGATACCCTCCATGTATTGAGCCGGTCTGTATCACGTTACATATAAACGGTGTAATTACATATAACCGAAAGAGCGATGTAAGTGTTGCTATAAATAGACTTACGGAGGTGGCTGCAAAGAGAGGGCGTGCCACTGGAGGTCAGAGTCCAAGCACACGAGAATTGCTCCGAGAAGAGGCTCAGATATGACTGCCAAACCTAGCAAACTGTAAGATAAATCTCTCACTACATTGTAATGTATGTGTCCACTGATAATTAAGGTAGAAAGTACATATATAGCAGTGTTCAGAAGTACATACATACATACATACCTTATGAGAGATGGATCAAAGGAAGTCACAAGCTGGATATCTGAATCAACTTTCATCACCAGCTCACCAACTGAGTGTAAGATTACATAAAATGTATGTCACCCACAATCACTTCCTTTGCACTGAAAAACTATACATACAGTATATATATACCTGAAGTGGTTGCAAACTGGGTCATTCGACCAGCCCATGGCAATGTAACCATGTGTACTCCTTCACTGTGAGCGATGAAGTAGCGATACGGTAGCACTGGGTCTAATGACAGAGGAGAGAGACAGAGAGAGATAGAGAGGGAGGGAAAATAAAAGATGTTTATGCATATTATTCACCTTTAGTTTTGTATTAAGAGCTTGTGGGGGGCTTCTAAAGTATGGTATATACGTAGGTCAGGGATAATGAGTTGCTTCAACAGTTGTTTACTTACTCAGTAAAACAACTTTATTACAGTTGAGGGCCTCTTGTAAGAGGAGATTTTGTCTTAAACAAACTCTGACCACCTTTAATGAGGGAGACAGGATCGTCCTCCATCTCCAGAGTAAGTCTGACACACTCCACAACGTACAGAATACCACTGGTGGCAGGTCTCTGCAATCTACTTCTGTCCTCCTCTTCCTCCTCCTCTTCTTCCTCTCTCTCCTGGATAAAACAAGGACACCTTAGCATCCACATTTTCGCATGGTATAATCATGGACTTTGCAGGGGTGGCAGCCTGGACTTACAGGTGGACTATGTTTTTAGTAAATATGTAAGGAAAATAGAAAACAACAAGTAAATGAACCATCTAGAATTCCTTGACTATAGCTGGAGAGCACAATGCAATCCATTTTTACATGCTCATGTAATTATTCAAGAGTATACCTCATCTGACTCCATATAGACACAGTGGTATAGTGTGCCACCGGAGTGGGCAATAATTAGAACAAGGGGTGTGGTCTCCAAGAGGATAAGCCCAGCTGCGTCGTCGGTGCCGTAATTATCCTCCGACATGGGGTGCATCGGAAGGGGCTCTGACGACAAGGGAGAGGAGGCGGAGCTGGTGGGCGGGGCTAGAGAGGTTGCTATTACATCGCCAGTGTCTCGCAGAGCAAACAGTCTGTTAGTTTGAGTGCAGGCAAAGGAGACGACCATATCTTCCAGCGAACAACTGTGGACCTGGGGAAAGACGATAGAGAACTATTTTGCTGAAAAATCTCTCTGGTTCAAATTACTACGAAAAGAGATGCAAACCTGGTTGGCAGCAGAGGTGGAGAGAGGGACAGAGTAGCGAGGATAGTTGGGGTCAGCGAGGGAGAAGATACGGAGGGTGGAGTCGTTGGTGAGGAGGAGGAGGGTGAGAGGGAGAGACCGGTGCCAGGCCGTCTGGAGGAGATGGATGGTGTGATGGTGGATCGTGAAGAGATCCGACGCTATCGGGGTCACCCTAGACATAACGTTTTCCCTTAAAGTCACATCATCACATCATCACAAATACACGTAAACGGCTGAAATTTCACATTTAAATTCGCTCGCCACATATGTGTGTTTTATTTCAGTTTATCTGCATTGAGGAAACTTCAATCACAGAGAGAAAGACTTAACTAAGGATTTTCAGCCCAGGTGTGCGCGTGTAAAACCTTTTGCAAACACTAATTCTTGACACTTTCAGTTCAGTACATTATTAAGACGGCAAGTAAAAAGCGAGCGAGAGAGAGAGAGAGAGAGAAAACACAGGAGTATAGAACACAGTACACAGCCAAACCCTTCATGAGTATATACACTATCACCATGACAATAGGAAAGGTGTATTACCTGCAAGAGACTGTTTTTTTCCCACCACCAAATTCACCGTGCTCCCCTCGACTGCGCGGTAAGGTCATCACAGCCACGGCCTGCTCACCCACCAGGGCAATGTGGCTCCCGGCATCGTTGGGGACCAGACGACACACCGGAGTTAGCGGAGCCGACGTACATGTCAGCGTCTGCCCACGGGAAAAGGAGAGAAAGAGGTTATGTACGTGGCTAATATACAGATCATCTCTGAACAGTGGAACCCCTCTCTAATAATACACCTCTCTCTCTCCAATGTGAACACCTTTTCTTCCAGAACAGTTCTTGAACGTAAAATGCAAGCAATTTAATTAATCCCTGAAATAAGGACAACTATATACACTCTTTCGTTTGTCTCATTGGTGTCTGGATTATAGGGGTTCAATTATAAATTGCAACGTCCACAGTACAGGAAGTTTAAGTGTACAGCATTTGTAGGGTGCCCTACTACTTTGAATGGGTGTTTGGTTCAAACCTGGAAGCATTGTTCCTCCGAAGGATTCGCTTTCAAACGCTTTAGGTTCGTGGTGAGGACGGCGCTCTTTGCCGAGCTCCACACGAACAGGTCCCCGCGAATCTCGCACACCAGATTGCCATTATTGACGGGCTCCACCCCTTCTTCCCTGAGCACCTCGAACAGCGGGTTATGGCACAGAGCGTCAGTCCAATCGGCTTCACTACTGAAGAAGCTGGAAACAGACATGTCGACATGCGCGTTAATTAGAGAAGAGAGCTGTGCGCGAGTGGGCGGGGCTAGTAGGTGGGCGCCATTTGGAAAGAAAACGTGGCTATTTCGCGTTCGCGCGTTTTCTTGGGGAACGGCTATGGCAGGTGCTCTGCAGCTAGGAGGCCAGTGTCCGCTGTGCAGGGAAACGGGAAGAGATGGAAAACTGGAGCTGAGACAAATAAATGCATGCGAAGCGCTCTGGATCTGCGGAAATATGAAGGTATGCTGTAATAATCCGAATGTCTATCTATATGATTCAAGTTTCTTTCTCCAGTGTCCGTATCCACTGTATTTGGACGTTCTGACGGTCTCCAGCATCGTTCCTGAACTGCTGCCACCAGACAGTGGCTCCATACAATCTCAGACAGCTACTGGGGACCACTCTGGGCAAAACATGACCACAGGGAACCGTTGCGGGCGAAATGTGGCCGCCAGTGCTGACCAAAGTGACGAGATGGCCGCAGCAGCTTCCAGTCCTAACAACAGTCAGGACACAGGACCTAACTTTGGAAAACTCAGCTACCAACATAATAGCCTCAGATTTGGGAATAATTCGACTTACAGCCCCGTTCCTGGGGGCACCTTTTCTGGTCAAGAATGGACGACGCAGATGTATCCTTCCCCCTCATTTAGTGCTCATCCAACAAACACTGCTTTTGGTTTAACCCCATTGGAACCGGGTAATGTTCTGGACGAACTGAGTGCGATGTTCAAAGATAAGACTTCTTGAATCTTTACCCACTCACTTCTCTGATCAGCCGAAAGACTTTTGGTAAACACAACAGATTTATCTGTATTCATTTTTGTGTGATTGTCAATTGACACATGAGATTTTTAAGAGAAAGGACACCTCGTTAATTTATATTGCGGAACAAGGCAAATTTGATGAATATTATGCTGCTGTGTGGGTAACCATTGGGATATAATACAAAATGGTTGAGAGAGAGGATCATGTGATGTTCACAAGGCAATCATGTGATATTTACAAGGCAATCATGTGATGTTCACAAGGCAATCATGTGGTGTGACAGTTTCAGTCGTCCCAACTTTCCCAGTCGGAGGACTCACTACCCTCTCTTTCCTCCGCCCTTCTCTTCTTCTTCCGCCCCTCCTCCCCACCTGTTTCTTTCTTCACAGGAGTCACAGTCTGTCGCAAATCTCCCCCCTCACTGGACTCCCCACTCCCCCCACCCTCCTCCTCCTCCTCACCCCCTCCCACCATCTTGAGATACTCCCAGTCCCCACCTCCTCCTCCGTTGCCATCTGGACTGCTGTCACTGTGCGGCAGGTCCTCTGACACACAGACAAAGCTATCGGACGACTCAGAACGAAGGTGGTCACTCTTTATCTCCACTATACTGGAAGCCACATCATCTGGAACAACAAGAATAAAACAGATTTTGATTAACTTTTGCAGCGAACTACATTATGCAGAGGGGAAGAATGTAAGAGACACAGTAATGCACGAACGTTGAATTTTTGTTTGACTTCTAACCTTCTCTGTTGTGTGGGTCTTTGTTTCTCTCCTCACTGTTTTTACTCGCTCCCGTCTCTTCTGTCACATTCTTCTCTTCCTCTCTATCTTTCTCTTCTGCTTTCTCCTCTCCTCTCTCCCCCTCCTCTTCCCACTCCACAGTCTCTTCGGCCTCCTCCAGCTCCTCCCAGGCAAGATCCTCTGGCGGCGGCTGAGGCTGGACTCGAGCCATCAGGTCTGCCCGTCTCTGCTCCTCCTGTGTGTAATGTCACATGACTCAACATGATGTCATTTTACATCATGTGATGTCACACAACTCAATGTCATGTAATTTTACACCGTGTGGTCATAAGACTCGATCTCTGTGTAGTTCACATGACAAAGATTAGTATTACGTTCTTCACAATCCAAATAGGCACAATTCTAAATAAAGCACACTTTCAATGTCACCAGTGTCACTGACCTGTTGGAGTAGGCCGAGTTTGAAGAAGTATCTCTTCCAGAAGTCATTGTAGGAGACCTTGGCAGGGACCAGTCCACTGTGGAGACTCCTCACGTGGGGACAGTTGACCAGGAGCTGCGAGATCTCCGACTGGCGAGAGTGGACCTCAAACTGCCCCGCCCACCTCTCGTACTCTGACTCCACCCCTGTGGACACACCCATCACAATACAGCAGAGAATATCATCTAATGAGCATAAAAACACTTACACAGTGAAAAGGGCAATGACTAATCAGCAGGGAACATTCTTTGAGCAAAAGTAACCTGCGAAATTTTACCCTCAATTTTTCTGCATTTGCAGTGCTGTCAAATGTCACGGACTCCAAACAAAAGTCGTAACAGAAGCAATGAATCGGGGGTTTAAATGCAATACACGTGATATTGAACAAGATGTTGGTGACATCTTGGGCAACACTTTCAAAAAAAGCTGCTTGATAATTACTCTGTATGCATTTGTGTGCTAATTATGTGAACTAACCCAGAGGATTGGTGAGGAAGGTGTCCGGACTGCTCTGGAGTGTAAAGAGCTGAGCCTGAGATCTGTCGTATGGCACGCCCACTGGGTGTGAGGGTGGGACGGAGGAGGGTGGGAGGTGGGGGGACTTGGTCTGCTTTGCAACGTCATCTTGCTGTGTGTATGTGTGTGTGTTGAAGTGTACACGAAGGCAGTTACTTTAGTAGAAAAATGATGTCCAGTATAATGTGTTGATGTTAGGCTTACATCTTCAATCTGAATGAGTCCCTTTATGTTGTCGCTGGCGTGTTTCACCGCTACACTCGTGTCGTTGCTCACAACGGACAAAAACTCGGCTAGATCTCTTTTCGTTGCCGAGAGAGCTGACACCGACTGTACGGGGAGTTAGAAAGAGAGTTGGTGTAGTTTTCGGTGAGTGGGGAGGCGTACCTTCTCTTTGGCGGCCGTTAGTAAACTGGACCACCAGCCACTGTCGCTAAAGCACAAGTACCAACATTTCATACCAAATTGTCGGTAGCTTACCTCTCCGCGCCGGCCATGCTGTATTGAGCTCCAGTTCAATCGATCCCTGGACAATTTACGGCAAATCCAAAGCCCAGAGAGTTTCGATAAACTGCCGAAATACGTGAAAAACACAAGAGATGTAGATTAAAGTCGCGTTGGCAAAATTCTATTTGGAGCACAAAAACGTATGACGTCACATGGGGAAATTCCCAATTCCACATGGGCTACGCGCATGTGCTACCTACGCTGCAGCCAAGAAACGTCGTTTTCTTTCTCGCTCCGTGTGCGGCGGTGTAGATGGAGGTACGGATTCGTCTGAGATTCGGCTCGACTCCCATCCACTACGCCAAGAAATGCTGTTTCCTGTTCCAGCGAGACGCCTGCAGGACTGTCGGCGACCTGGTCTACTTGATCACCGCCCGATTTGGCGTCGAGGCTCGGGGTGTTCAGGTATACCACCGTTTATAATACCATGATACTCTCCCTGTGAAGAGCCTTTCTGCATTCTATTTTCAGTGTCGCATGCGTTAGTTTATGCGCATGCTCTCTGTGTATATAGCTGTTGTTGGATGACTTTCTGCTGCCACCCAATGAGAACATCTCCATTATCAGAGACAACGACCTCATTGAGTAAATCTATCATTATAGATGTGTACACTGTACGACAGCATTTCTGTTTCTCTCGTTAGGGTAAGGACAGTTGAAGATGACGACAACCCTATAATACCTTCCAATAAAAGGTTGTGTTAATGCTGAGTACTATGATAAGCAGTTAAAATGTGTACAACAATTATACCATGCAGACCAAAGGAAAACACTGATGTCTCTTCAAACAACAAAGCTGCAAAAAAGCGACACAAGGAACCTCCTCCGCCGGCAAAAGAACCTGCGACATCAAGCGAAATGTCATCTTCGGAAGAATCGATGGCACTCCCCAAACCTCCCCCTCCCAGGGCACCCGCTGGTGGACCGAGAGTAGTAAAGACTGTGGAGAGGAAATCTGCAACCGGCGGAGTCCACCTCACGTTTCACTCCTCTTCTCCCTCTTCCTCTGACTCTTCATCTTCTTCTTCTTCGTCCTCCTCCAGTAGTAGTGATGAATCCGAGGCAACAAGAAGTAAAGAGCCTCTTCCAACCGAGAAGCCAAGTGCGAAATCAGGTTCTGCCGTGTCTTCTAAGACTGCACAGGTTAAAGCCGCCACCCCAAAGCAACACCTAAGACTGCACAGAATACAGCGGCCACTCCCAAAGGAAAGAAATCTTCTGAAACGGAGCCTGTTTCTTCCGTGGAGAGGAACAGGCGAGACAAGAATGGCTCGGGGAGTGGAGCTGTGAAGAACACTCCCCTGGACGCGTCTATGTTGGGTGTGGAGGCTTCAGTACGTGATGATAGTCCTGGTGGGAGAGGAAGAAGAGGAGGGAGGGGGAAAAGGAGGGGGAGAGGGAGGGGAAGGATCGTGGGAGGTGAAAGAGACGTATTGACAGTGGAAAGTGCGGTTTACAAGAGTCCCGGTGAAAGTTCTAGAGGGAGGGGGGAGAGGGGGAGAGAGGAGGAATGGAGGAGGGAGAGGAGGATGGGATGTGAAAGGACAGACTACGACTGCCACTGAAACCAGAGACTTTGGAGACGAGAAATCTGAAGCTAGTGGACCAAACGCAGCTCTAACGAATGAGAACAGTATATGGGAAAAGAGTGTGGCTGGGTTTACTGAGGAACACTCTGAGGAAATGACACCAGAAGATGGAGCTGAGGTTGTAGACGGTGGTGACAAACCGGTGCCAGAGGTACCACCAGTGGCTAGGGATTACTCCAGTCTGCCTGCATTGCCTGGAGCACCACGGGTAGGGGACACCATTGCATTCAAGGTCAGTATAATGTGTAAACCAGAGCTTACTATGGTGTAGTGGGAAAATTCAGTTTGTGAGAGCTTATTCCATTTGCCCTCTGTAATAGTTTCCTATTCCGTGTGCATCATTACAGCAGAAAAACACTATATATGCTGCTGGAGTTGAATTTTCTTTTTTCAGGTCTTGGAGTTGTCTTCCAATTGTACTCCTGAGGTGTCTGACTATAAGGTGTGTGTGACTGTGTAGTATAAATGGCATATTATCTACCATTGCCTCTTTAAATATAAAACGGTCTAACGTTGTGTGTCTGTTTACGCAATAAACTGCAGGAGGCCAAGGTTACTGCATACGACTCGTCCACTTCCACTGTCACAATGAAATACTTGACTCCACAACACGACGAGCAAAACAACAGTCCTCCAGAAGGTTTAGCAAACCCATTTCAAGGGTTTTCGCAGATTTCAATGTATATAGGAGACACCGTAGCAAGTTTGTCGGCATGAGCGATTTCTGCCGTCCGTAAAAAGTCCGCTATTAGTGCAAGTACCCAGTTCGAGCTCCTACTCCATGCTCTCTTCTTCTGTTTGTCTGTGTGTGTGTCTGTCTAGGCTCTCTACGGAGTGAGCTACTGAGGTCTGTTGTATTGACGGAAGAGGCCAACGAAGAAGAGGAGGTTGTCGATGAGTCACATGACAATCACGTGACCTTCAGCCTAGGCTCTCTCTTGCAACTAAAACTCATTACATGAGTACAATACAATGAAATTTTTTCAATTGTCTAGTTGTCTCAATCACTTCTTCTTTCCTTTCTTTTTCGAGTCCCTTGCATTGCTAGCAGCTGCCTGTAATGTGCATAAGATTGGTCGTATCACTGCACAACAAATTGTCAAAACAGAGCAATATATTTTAACACAAGCCGGGGAAAATACATCTGCGTTGAAAAGCTCTGGGGCTGGTGCTGCTGCTAATACTCAAACAGGAGTAGCAGTGTATATTATGCTGATAGGCCACCTAAAATGCCAGGGATGTGCCAGGGATGTGCTCACCTCTTCTTCGACCGCCTTGAGTGCAGCTGCTTCAGCCTCTCTCCTTGCCTTCTCCTCGACCAGGTAGGCCTGTCGTATCTTCTCTCGCCCTCTGTTCATACGTTTACGAGTTGCCTCCAGTTCAGTCTGAGGTCACACAAACCAATAGCGACCATTAAAGACCACTAGAGACCATAATGGTCTACTGTGATGCACTTTGCTGTACGTTGCCTTTACTATGATACAGTCCAGACCCGCTGCAACTTCAACTGATCTAAGGCACCATACCATAGTATGGCATATATAGTTCAACAAAAGCTACGCAAAGGACTTTTGGGGATCGTATATGAAACTACATTCAAAGTGCTATGCCACAGGGTGCAGGTATTCTCGCGACATGAAAAGGGAACTGTCCGTGATCGTGGTATATACACATACCTGCTGTTTCTCAGCCTCTTGGAGCTGTCGCAGTTTCTCGCTGTTCCTGAACTGTCGGTCCTGGTCCCTGGACTCCAGAACGGAGCGACGCCAGGCCCGGTACTGGCAAATGCTCTCCTTCCTCTCCTCGTCCCTCCTCTCTCTTTCCTCTGCCGTCAGCACATGTGGAGTTGTGTTACTATTCCTGGAGGAACACATGAGTAGTGTGTACTATTTTTGATGTGTATGCTATATTTAGCTGGGTGACCTCACCATTTAGTATATGACATTGTGTCACTGTACCTAAGAAGTTTACTGTTTATGATGCAGCTATATTTAGCAACAGGGGTATGATGCAATGGAGGACACACCTGGTGTAGAGGGAGAGGTCGATCCTCTCGAGCGGGATGGGAGCGTGTGGAGGGAGGAGGGAGGGAGAGATGGGCAGTGGAGTTGTAGATGAGCTCAGACTTGGTGTAGAGGGGACAGTGAGATGCTGCTGGTCTGCAACAAAGACAAACAAATGAACTAGGCTTTACTTTGTAGAGCTGCTATACTTTAATAGTCTGTTTAGTGTATATACGTATGTAGTGGCTTGCTTACCTTCAGAATTAGTGTCGGGAGGTTTCAGGGAATGGGCATCTAGGAACTTCTGTCTGGACTCTTGACCCTTTGTGAGAGGATAACGTTAGGTTTGTGTACGTGTGTTTGTGTGTGCACCTTACCTGTTTGAGTCTGCCAGGCTGTTGCGTTTCCCATGTGGTCTGCATACTCTTCAGTTCGTCCTCCCTCTCGGTGTCTCTGCCCATCTCAAACTGATCCTTGTCTCTCTGCCGTATCGCCACACGCAGCGTCCAGTGCGGCTTGCTACCATCGATATTTGACAGCGACTGACAGCTGTTGACTCCGTCACTCCCGTCTTTTCCTCCTCCGTCTTTCCCCCCTCCTTTCCCCTTCTTTGGTTTAGCACCACTGCCGCTTTTAGACGAAGCCGAGGGTGGCTTTTTGCCCTTTCCCCCACCTCCCCCCGCACTGCCTGATGCGTTGGCTTTTTCCTCTTCGGCCGATCGTATTTCGTCGATGTAAGGCCAGGCTGTGTCGGCAAACGGCCAGCTCTTGTGAAGGACGGTGGCTACCATCACAAACTTGTTGGTCAGTGTGTCTGCGTCTCTGCTGGGAGAAGGGGACATGAAGAACGATGGGATGAAGCAATAGGCTCTTCCTTGTGTCACTGCTACCAGGCTTCCATCAAACTCACTGCCTTGAAAGATCTGTGGACAGAATGAGATACACACATCACAGTCTTTGATACTTAGTTGAAAAAGCCTAGTTTCCACACACACACACACACACACACACACTATCACATACGTTTAGACGTCGGTGAGAAGAATGCTGCTTTTGCAATACAAACTATCACTAAGTCGTGTATTATAGGGACGTCGAGGGTATATTATGCATGTGTACGTACGTAACATAGCACTTACTTCAAGCTTTATAAAAGCATCCTTCTTGGAGGTGGTTAGCTGAACCGTGATGGGGCACTCTGTCTTGGCTCTCAGAGAGTACCTGAACAACACACTGTCTCTGTCGGGAAGACAATACTCCCGCACCTCCTTGTGGTGAAACTCAGTTCCAATCGCCACTTCTGCGACGTTTTCACCGTCCTTCTCCCCTCCTCCCTCAGCGCCTTCCTCCTTGTTTTTCTCTTCGTCTTCCTCGTTCTTCTTCTGTTCCAATTCATCTTCTTCCCCCTCGTCCTCCTTCTCCAGACCTTCGCAGAGCGGGAGGTCCTTATCGGAGCTGATTACGCGGAGTTTCCAGATGTTACCCTCGACCACGGGGTCGGAGCGAGTCCACATCTCACACAGTATGGTGTACCCTTTCTTCAAGTGAAGTATGAGAGAGGGGATAGGAGGAAGAGGAATCAGATATAATGTATGCCCCATTAAAAAAATAAACAAGCTAAGCCATGTATGCAAACAAAGTTTTAGGGGACCCTAGAATGTATTTTTGACTTCAATCACCAAAAGAAACCTTTTCCCTCCTTAAAATTTTAAAAAGTCCCTCTTTTTCTTCACCCTTCTATACAAAAATTCCTGGAAAGTGAATCACCTTGTTGATGTTGTATTCCTGAGGCTCAGTGATGTGGGCCACTCTCGGCATCTCCCTCCCGTCGTCGTTGTCCACCACCCTCAACTGGTGACCAGGGACCGGGCAGTCCAGACTGAAGGCCAGGAGTTGCTGGTCTCTCTGGACCTGGAGCACCTCTCTAAAATCTCATCAGTAGTGGGGAGTAGAGGTTTCAGAAGAGTTGGGAGGTCAAACACATTCTGAAAGACTTAAACCAGTGTGAACTCTATCACTTAAAATATGGTGTGTGTGTGTGTGCGCGTGTGTGTGTGTGCTTTTGTTCACAGGAATAGTAAGGCTAAGTGTAAGCTACATTCTTGTGGTTCTGAACCACTGCTACACTTCCTGTTGCAAGCACACAAAATGGCTGCAAGCGCCCTACTTCCCCGTCAGCTTTGCCTGCCTGGTGGTAGGGCCCTTCCTCCCTCCATCCCTCTCATCATCTCCGGTCAGGACAATTGGGACCCTCTCTCCTGCCAACTGGAGGCTCACAAACAAGACCCCAACAACCACAGCCTCAAGCTAGTGGAAGATGCAGTCGAACTACTTCGTAGTATCGACAAGCCACTGGCCGTCCTCTCCATCTGTGGGCCCTACCGTTCAGGCAAGTCTTACTTCATCTCTCGCGTGCTTGGCAGCCCTGGAGCCTTCAAGCTAGGCCACAGCATGCAGGCCTGCACTCGAGGCATCTGGATGGCCACAACTATCCTAGAATGCCAGGATTATGCCGCCATCTTGCTGGATACGGAGGGTATCGATGCCGTGGGAGCCTCCGAGACCATGGCCATGAGCTTGCTCACCCTCACCACTCTCCTCAGCTCCTTCCTCATCTACAACTCCAAGAAGGTGCCTCAGAAGGTGGACCTCGACAAGATGAGGTGTTTCTCCCAACTCTCAGCCTCCCTTCTTGCTCAGTGTGGTGAGTCAATGTCGATGGATGCGAAGAAAGCATTCTTCCCTCATTTTCTTTGGCTACTGAGAGACGTGAGTCTCAAGATGACTGACAGGGAAGGTAAGGAGCTGGCGCCAACCAAGTTTCTTCACACCCGGGTCCTTGCATCTGAATCGGGAGAGCTCACAGACCTGGGCAAGTCTCTAGTCAGTCTTTTCCCCTCTCTGGAGTGTGCCACTCTCCCCATACCTTCCATCAAGAGAAACATCATCCGCGGCATATTGGAACAGCGAGACAAGCTCAAACCGGCTTTCAATGCAGCAGTCGATACTCTGATCCAGCAAGTCCTCCAGAAAGTAGCTCCAAAGAAGGCAGTGGATGGGACTACTACAGTGACTGGGAAGGCTCTGGCTGCTCTAGCTGCAGGCTATGTGGAGGCAGTCAACAGGCCAGGAGCCCTACCAGACCTGGACCAGGGCTGGCAGGCAGTGGTGAGGCTGGAGCTGAACGAAGTCTCCTACAAGTTGGTGAGGGAGTACGAGAGGGAAATGGAGGAAGCTTTGGAAGGAAAGCTGCCAATGGAAGAGAGACATCTCCTGGAAATCCACCAACAGACACTGAAGAAAGGCAAGGAGTGTCTGAGGCAAGATATTTACCACGTTAACCCTCTACACTCCAGTGACGAGGAATCGCAACCTCTCCTGGACCAGTTGGAAGACGAAATTGTACAATGGAGCGAGTCAAAGGAGGATGGAGAGGGAAAAGTGAGCGGGGGTCTTCTGTACCGTTTCACCACACAAAACTTCAAGAAATCCAAAGAACACTGTGCAACTCTACTCAATGAGCTTGTAAAGAATAGCAAAGTACAAGAAAAGGTGAATTTAGCCATGAGAAACTCAGACCCTGTCGATATCACTAGAGAGGTGAGTGAGATCGCTGCAGAGTACCAAGCAAGAGCTGTAGGACCGGCTGCTGGTGAAATTCTGGAGACAGGGATCTCCGAACTGAACCAACTCTCTGACATCTTGAAAAAAATTCCCGGACAGGTATCGCGTGTAACGTTAAAAACTGGGAGAAATAGTGTCAAACTATACTGGGGTCCTCCAAAAAAGAATCCTGAAGCAGTCGAAGAGTACGTAGTGTACAAGAGAGTCGAAGGGGGAGAGTGGGAGGAGGCTGGGAGGACCGACAAGACCAAGTTACTGGTGAGGGGACTTAAGTCAAGTACTAGCTACGAATTTCAGGTGATAGCCACCAACAAAACACTGACTAGTCTTGCAGAAGGTGTGTCACCCACAACCCGTCTCTCGGCTGCAGCTGCTGTCGGTGAAGGTGTTCTTTTGGGTGCCTCAGCCTCTCTATTTCTGCCCCTGACAATACAAAATGTGCATAGGGCATTCAAGCACAACGAGGACCTTATGGAGGAGGAAGTATCAACCCCAAAATTTATTTTGCTGGTGGGACTAAGTATAGCAGCTCTTCCTGTCAGCATTATTTTGGCACCTGTCACTCTGCCTGTACTGATGGCAGCTTCAACAAAACTTGTCAAAGATGATATCACAGAGCCCGAAGAAGATTCTGATCAAGACGATTGATAATAAACTGGAGGTTAAGCAGTCAAAGAATTGCATCAGTGTGTGTTTCAAGAGTTTTATATATACTCCTGTGAGTATTAGTGGGCATATGCTAAAGAAAGTGACGAAGAATAATACTTGTAATTATGAATTATGATAACACGAAAATCATGAAATCACCGATGATCACATTATCATCTGTGGGCATGAGTATAGTGGACCCATAATTTAGTGTCATCCATCAAGGACCTCCCAATGCTATGAGTTAGAGCTAGGGTAGCTATATTATACCTGAACACAACAGCCCATGAGTTGGGTGGCAGAGGTGGGACAGGTCCAGAATATATCTTGGAGTACCCAACACCTTCCTGGAAAGATATTAAAAAATTATGACTCACCATCATAATACAATCTTCTGTTTACCTTGTGCATGCTATCGTACGCAGCGCTCTCGTTGTAAAGAACAAAGTCATCGTTTGAAGAAATTGAGAGGTGGTAACCGACTGGTGCCTTCACGTGAAACTTCATCATCTTTTTGCTGTAGAATAAATGAAGAACTTACCAGCATTATTATACCCAGGGAATCACACTGTTAGTAAACTATTCAGTGATATATAAAACTTTACAAACGTTTAAAGACATAGATTTTTCCCCTCGAACATTTTAAGGAATACACATGATCCAAACATTATGAAAAGCGCTCTACTGTAAACAGTAGTATATCGACACCTTCTATGGACTTTGACGATGGCTCCCTTGACTCCAGAGGTGACCAGTCTCAGTAGAGGCATGCTGGTGGATATGGACCTCCAGTTGAACTCCTCCACCACCAGTACCCCACCTACCACCCTCTCTCCCTCCTCCTTCTCTCCCTCCTCCTCCTCCTCCTCCTCTTCGTCCTCCGGTGAGGGTGGGGTAGGAGGGAGGTAGACTGCTGATCCAGATGATGAGTCCTCTACAATGTATGCATGAGTATATCAGACCACTGAAAAAGTAGGATGTCTTTGGTGAGAAAATACTTGTGTGGATACTAAGCATGATGATGTAATAGTTAGGCAATGAGTGTGCGAAATAATGTGTGCATTCGCTGGTATGCTATAAACTATAATTTCATGCACTAGAAGCTCAAGGGAACTCGTGTTTTCGATTTCAACTATTTAGTATGAACTCCAGTGGGCACCTGCACACTCTTGTGGCATAAATAAAGATTAGACTGCTCAATGCCCGGTGTACCTTCATCTGCCTCAGGTATGGTGAGCGGAGGAGCTCTACCGCCAGCCCAGGCATAGGCTGAGGTCTTTGCCCCACTGCGAACCAGAGAGTAGTTGAAGCTGTAGCGCTGACTGAGTGGATTTGACAGAATCGACTCTCTCCTCTTCCTATACAGTATAACCAAAGGAACTGGCAGTTGGCTAAAACTTCAAAGCTAAAACTTCTAGCAGCTAAAAATATTCACGTACTGTAGTGCCGTGCTTTTCTTTCTCTCGGTTCTCAGGTCTTTCGAGTCCTCCCTCCAGTTACTGAGACAGGAGAAGACGAAATGGAGCTCGACTTCCCCTGAATCGCCGCTGGTGTCATTTGAATTCTCTATGACTGAGTGTGCCAGAGTCAAGGAACAAGGAAGAGCACCACACTTACAGAGCTGCCAACTAAACACGCAACAGACAGACAAACGATACTAGGAGAGAAAGAGGCAGTAGACAGCTGTTTCAGGCTTATTAGTTTGTGGACTGCACACCATTATCACGTGTATGGAGGAATATCATTATGAGTGATAAGTCCACACAAGTATCCAAAAACATGCCACTTTTCCATAAACGTGTGCCGGTATCAAGTAGGGAAGGATACACAGAATATTGGTGTCATCTGCAACAGTTGATTCCGTCCCTTTTAACTGCAGTGGCAAAAGAGTTAGATTTTTCCCGTCGGCTGAATTTCTTTAGTGCTTACTTTGTTGGCAGGTGAGTGTGAAGCGCGGCCTTTTGCTTTCGTCTCTTCTTGAGCGGCCATCTCTACAGTTGCCTTTTGGTAAGCACACAGCGGGGGAGGGAGAGAGAACAGATGAAGAGTGAAGCTTAGACAAAGACACAGGGACAGAAAACTAGCGTATGGCTGGTGTGTGTATAATTATATGTAGAGAGAGAGAGAGAGAGAGAGAGAGAGAGAGAGAGAGAGAACAGATAAAGTGTGAAGCTTAGACAAAGACACTATACACTATAGTATGTGGAAGATAAGGGTAGCTACCGTCATATCTCTGTAGCAGTGGGTAAACCTGAACCGAGACGGTGGGGTGTACACTTCCACACTCCTGCAGCAAAACTCATCAATCAACTGTGTTCACGGAACTCTTTATGTGCAGAAGACTCACGAAAAGGCCTTCCGAAAGTCTTCAAACTTCATCCATATCCCTTTCTCCTTCGTCAGTTCTTCCCCGTCATCGTGATCCGTCCCACTGGCATCACCACAGCCACCTGCAACACCGACGGTCCCTGGAGCCTCCCTGTCTCCCCTTCTGGAGAACTGCAAGAGACACATTATAACAACATACGCGACAGCCTGAAAATATGGTGTGAGTTTTACTAACTTGAGCAACTACATACATAGAACTAATGCGTGTTCTGCGTTGCTGAACTGCTAGTCTTCCGAACACTGTGCTTGTAATACTTATGGGATACACAGCCTAGTGTCACAGATGGTTAGGACCACATGTTAGTGTTAGTGTCTGGTTCACGCAATTAATCATGCTCACTTGAGTCCCTCTCCCTCTTTCTCTTCCTCTTCCTTAACTTCCTCAAGATTGTGAGCACTGGAGGTGGCCGGGACTTTGGTGGTGGCAAACGGAGTAATTACTTCCACCCAACGAGGTGGGTGTGGCTTCGGACTTGGTCCCTTCCATGGTTCACGCCTCCTTTGACTATACCCCAACCATGCGTGCTCCTGTAATAATGAACCCCAGATAATGCGGAGAGAATGCTCTACCATACTGTTTAGTTAAGCAATCACAACACATTTGTGGTTCTAGAACTCACCATGAAAGTTCTATCTCTGACATTTTGTGAGCAGGCACGATTTATGTAGTGGGAAATTTTCAAACACAACGCAAAAGGCCTTAGGTTTCAGTATTTAATACGGAATTCACACACTGCATCCAGTTTAACTTTTGTATTGTATTGTACCTCCGTTAAATTTTGGTATTTGAACGTGTGAAAAAGATTTACATTACTACTTGATGGGTTCACATATCTCATTGTCTTACCTCTGGTGCTGGGATGGGTGGAGGTACTTTAGGTGGAGGCTGGAGCGGTATGTCTCTGACCTGACTCACAAACACAACCTGGGCATGCTCTGTCCTGGGGTCAAACTTCTCCGAGATCACTCCATTCCCTCTCAGTATCTCCAGGGATTCAGCCTACGAACATTCACGAGGATAAGGTTGGGAAAAACTTTTGAACAGACGTTAGAGAACAATACAAACTAGCATATTCTTATTCTTCGTTGGGGTTTATTGTTTTAACTTTATATCATGCGTGTGTCTACTCTCACCATCATAGTCTCTTTAGCTCTGCTCAAAGGTTTTCCATTGGCAGCAGAGGTAAACTGTGCAGTCACCATCTTTACCTTTTCCCCCTCTCCTCCTCCCTCTCCCTCGTCTCTCAATTGCTCCGGTGGCTCGCCCTTTCTTTTGTCTTCCTCAGCTCCACTGGTCTCAGTGGCACCACCACGTCTTTTCCACAGTGGCAGCGACTGACACAGTACCTCCCACAGTACATCACTCTCAATCCTTACACAAAGACACATACAAAATCAAGTGGAGGGCTAGGTCTAACATAGAGTGTAGAGGTTTTGATGACAACAACTTTTGGTGTTTTGATAGTTACACAACTGATAAACTTGTGCACAAGGGACCAAGGTTAATCTATGTATGTGATGAGTGAATCAAGACTTTGAAAGTAAATCATGTCTGTAGCTACTAGTATGAGACGGAGGAGTACAGACAACAGTACCTGGTTGTTAAGGTCTGAGGGCACCAACCAGTCAACATGTGGATAACACTTGAGTCACCAAACTCCTTCCACTCACTGCCACCTTTGTAGCTGTATATACACACATGCAGGCAATACTAACCTAGTAGCTATCAATACTAGAATATCAATGCTGGACTTACTCTAGAGCAGACACTTTTAGGATGGCCTTTGTGAGGATGATCGGCCACAGCTCACAGGTGTTAGCTGTCCTCGGAAGCAAAACCTCACTATTTTCGAAATTTTCCTTTTCTCCATCTTTACTATCTCCTTTTGGTTCTTTTCTATCGACATCGCACTCTTTGGTACTATCATTGGCTGGGGGCTCAGGATTCTCTTTTCTAGATTTTGGTCCAGAAGACTTTTTCGAGACTGCGAGGTTGTCTGTAACTGTAATTTTCCTCCAGGCACCCTGGAAAGAAGAGAAAGATTTGAGAAAGTAGGGAAAGAAGAATGAAACTAGAGTTTTAGAGAAATTGTTTCTTCTGGGGTATATATACATACATGATACTGGGAGATGCTGCTAAGGACAGTGGTATACAAGTTGAGGTATCTAGATGATAACAAAGACACTACATAGCATTTAATGTGGATCTGCAGGCTCTGGTCTCCAGGTCCACGGGCCCGAAACGACTCTCAGTTGTAACATACTACCAGTGAGTTTACTCGCTCTTAGTACATTCATTCATACCATCCAGAATATCTTGACACCGTAGGCCCCCTGAGGATTCAGCATGGGGATACTGTGATCCTTCCTGTGCTGTATGTGGCCCCAAGGTGTCCACTCTGGGCCAGGTCCGTCTGGCTCCCCACCGGTCAGATGTAGACACTCCCTATTGTGCCAGAGCGCTAGGAGCTGGCTAATGATTGAGCACATCAACTGCATGGTTTGTATATATACGGAGTGAAAAGAAAAGGGTAAAGTATTATAAGGTACATCACCAGAGAGGGTTTGTGTTTAAACATAACATACCTCGCTTTTCAAGAGGTGAGAATTTTCAGAGATTAGATCGATTTCGTTTGGAATCGGCTCAGCCACTACAGTTGGAGTCTGTAAGATACATAGTTAGCCAATGGACACCATACGGTTACTCGTGTCAAGACACTCTACTTACCCTGGGAGCTAAAATGAACTGCCCCGGTTTGAACCAATATACATTACTCCCTTTTTTCAGCGAAGGAGGAAGAATATCATCTTCAACACCCTTGTCAATATCCCCTTGCTGAAAAACAACATAATTTCAGGTTGTGAGTTTTGTTCCAGCTATCTACTTACTCCTGGAGAGAGGACTGTCCCTTTTCTTGCCCTGGAACCTGCATCTCCACCAGTTGGTTTGTTCGATTCCTAGCCAGAAAGACACAATAATTATTATGATTACCTTTGGCTGCATAGCCATGATGCAGTCTGTACCGCGCTTCAAGCCGTGCATTGCACTTACCCGTTTATCTGGAACGAGCTCATCGTCCGTCCACTTTGGCCATATGCTGTACTTGCTGGCCTTTGCACTGCTGAGCTCTGCGCTGGAGTTGCTGCTGCTAACATGCATGGAGAAGGGCGGGTTTGTTCCACGCGTTCATAAAGCTACACAAAGCCTCACCCGCTATCTTTGCCGGCGCGGCTTGCGCCGGTTTTTCCTGGCATTGATGATGAACTAGGTTCTTCGCCTCCGGCTTGGCTATGGCTGCATGCAGGCAGTGTATATACTGTGTCTTTGTGTTGCCTAGTAACGCGTACTATAAAAGGGCGTTATTTGGAGTTATGGTGTGCTTTATTTGGAATTCTGCCCCGATAGTGCTCGATCATGTCTGTGAATCGCCTGCTTTATGGAGCTCTAATTCGTCCGAGACCGCGACAGAAACGTTTGGAATGCGCAAAACACTTCAGAGTGTTAGCGCACGCATCAAAAGAGGACAGTGCGAGCGGAAACGAGCCACAGAGCTACAGAACTTTCAGCGATCTCTTTCAATGCTCGAAATTCTCATCGATCCTGGACCCCGTCAACCAGAACGTTGAGGGAGAGGTACTAGCGGTCGTGGGCGGTAACATGTACGTGGATTTCGGCTGCAAATTTCACGCCGTCGTCCCCGTCCCGACTTCGTCATCGCCGGGCGGCGACGGAACTCGCTACGAGGAAGGATCGAAGGTGGTGGTGCGAGTTCTGGACCTAGAGATGACGGACCACTTCGTGGGAGACCACAGAGACACTTCGCTGCTTGAGGCAGAGGCAAAACTTGTAGTACAAAAATGATATCTCTCAACTTTTTTATACCGTACATCTACGCATGCGCATTAAAATTGGCGGGCGCGGGATATAATTCGGCGGCGGCATATGCATGCTATATATAAGGTGTGTGCATTCTGCTACTACTAGCTATAATGTCACTGTTCAAAACTAGTCAGGGTTCACTTAGAAGTTCTCGAAGTGGTGGATGAACGCCGGCCCTTCAAAGCGGTTAGTGACGGCGCAGGCGGCTTCCACACCGTTTGTCATCCCTGGTGGACCGCAGGAGAACACGCCAATCTGAGGAAGTAAGACGTACTCCTCCTGGAGGCTGTCGAAGAACTGGTTGAAGTCCGGACGGCCAAAGTGGGTTATGGCGCGCAGTCCTGTGAATAGACTGCGTCCGGACAGCTTCTGGAAGTGCCTCTCGCAGATGTACTGGACGAAGAGGATAAGGTAAATACGCTAAAATACGTAGATATATATACTCACCAGCATGGTGGTACGGAGGTCAAACTTGTCAAAGAATTGGGTGACGAAGATGTGATTTTCTACCAGACCCCTTTGTGTCTGCGTCTTCCACATCCTTGATGATGTCGGTGAACCACTCCCACTGCTTCTGGCTACGTGTCACCCAAATGAAGAAAACCTGAGATAATGAAGTACAAAAGCACGCTGAAGTATAATTATTGCCACATAGTGTAAATTTTGGTTACCTTCTTGCACTCTATGCGGGCTCCGATGTTGAAACGGTGGACCAGCTCCTTCAGGATCGAGGAAAAGGGAGTAACACCAATGCCTCCACCAACCAGCACCGACACTTCGAAGCTGGTCCATTCCTGGTGCCCCTCCCCAAATGGACCGTCGATGAAAACCTTAGGATAGGGCTTCCCTTGTAGGTTGGCTGGGTTGTAGTGGTCTCGGAAGTTGTAGGTCCACGGTCCGACTGCACGGATGTGGAGACTGAGGTAGTCCTCGTGTGGAGCGGAGCTGATGGTGAAGGAATGGAACTCTCCGGGATTCTGGGCACTGCTGGCAATCTTGACCCACTGACCAGCCTTGTAGTCGAAGCTAGTCGGCCGCTTGAAGTAGACCCCAACAACAAGAGATGGGAGTATGTCGGCACGAATGACGGCCAACTCTTGCTTCCTACGGCTAACGCTGACGATCAGGTCCAGGGAGTAAACGATGCCTGGCCCGAGGAAGAAGTTGCCGAACAGTGGATCCTGAACAAGACGTCCAGATCCGTGCAGGAACATGAGAATGTAGAAGGCAATGTAAAAGTGGTGGGTTACCCAGAAGGCCTGGAAGGTGTAGCGACGAGCGTACTGAGTGGCAAACACGTAGATGATGACGGTCACAAGTGTAAGTACGAAGGCGCTAAAGCCTGTCATTGTCAGGAAGAGCCAGTAGGTGAATTGAGGGAGGACATGAGTACGACGGTAGACCTCTCTGAAGATGCAATTCAGGTCGCCAGGCGTCTGGGTGGATATGTGGTAAAAGTTGATTCCGTGACCGATGCCGTGACAGATGGTGAACGCCAGCGCAGTCAGAGCGACAATCTTGTGGAAGGAGATGTAGGAATCGAAGGGGATGTAGTTGTTTAGCAGTGTCCCACGCAAGTAGGTGATGAAATTGCGAGCCATTGTAATCAGCAGAACAGAGTATGTCCACATCATAGATGAAGCAGCACCACGAGTTACAGTGACACCATAACCAGCGATCCTCCGCAGACCAGCGTGCTCTCGCTCCACGGAGTAGTAGTAGGACCTCTCCACAAAGATGCAAACCGTGACAAAGAAAAAGATCGAGAGCCAGAAGATGTGGAGGCGGTAGTTTTCGATGTAGCGGAGAAAGCTGTAGAAGAATCGGTAGAGTTTGCTTTTGGGAGCAATGCGTTTAACCGTGGGGATTTCGTGGATTCCTGACCCTTTGCTTTTTCCCTCTCCACCTCCAGAGGTAGCATTGCTGGCATAAGCTCTAAGAACCGTTCTGCGAGCTCGGGCAGGAGCAGTTTCGCGAGCCCTGTAACGACTAGGAACAGCCCCTCCTTCTGCAGCCGGCTGCTCTTTCTCTTGCTTCAACTCAACTTCTGGCACATCGAATCCCTTCACGTGGAGGTGGGCATTGCTGAGCTCTTCCTTGTGGTCACGAAGAAGGATGTTAAAATCTTCCAGGGTGAGCTCTTCCTTGCTCTGGAACCCTGCGGCTGTGAACATTGAGTCAATCAACTGCTCCATCTGGTCCGGAGTTACTGAAGCGCTTACGAGCTCCATCATGGCTTTGAGCATTTTTCTGAACTCGCTGCGACTGAGACTACCGCTCTTATTCACGTCGTACATCTCGAACATGAGCTTGATCTTGTCGTCGGGCGACCCCTTGGCAAAGATGACGATCATGTCCAGGAATTCCCTGAAGGAGATGAACCCGTTGCCGTCCTGATCGATCAGCTGGAACATTTGGTCGATAAACAGCGAGTCTTTCTTCATCGACATGGCATCGGCAAATTCTTCCCGAGAGAGCTCGCACTCAAGGATGTCTTGGCGGTGCTCCTCAATGGAGGAGCTTCCTCCCCTGCTACCCTCGTGGAAAACAGACTTGAAGAAGCTCTCCAGAAGATTCTGCCTGTCCTTCTTTGTAAAGACGCTCTTGAGCATGTGGCGTTTCTGGTGTTCCTCGCTCAAGACTGTTATCCCAATCCCTTCCAAGTACTGTTTCAGCTTGTCGACGACCGTGGTGCGATCCAGTGGGTCCTGACACCTCATGACAATGTCGTACTCTTTCGGGATTTTTACGACAAGGTGCATCTGGTCGTCAAACGGCGTCTGGATGGTGATTTTTTCCTGGTAGCGCAGATCGATTATACGCAGAACGGAGATTCCCTGGAACAGTACGATTCTCTTCCCGGGACCAGTCTTGATGCTGGCCAGTCTCGTCTCGCTCTTCAGCCCGGCTCTCAGCTCCCACAGGACTATCACCTCGTCTCCCTTTGTGATGTCGTTACCCTGGATCTCCCTCGTTCTGGTCGTCCGACCGGCAGCTGCGACTTTCTGACGTCTGTACTGGTTGTACGCAGCCAGCAAGAACATGGCCATGATTACAAGTCCGACATAGAGGAACGTGATTCCCCAGATGACAGGGACCTGCCACACAGAGTCGTTGTAGTAATAGTCGAAGCCTTCGAGCCCGGTACAGTCGTCCATGTAGAGCTCACTGAGCTGGAAGGGCTGGGGGCAGACAGTCTCATCCGTAAACTCAAACGGATTTTCCGACAAGTCCTCATCTCTGATGGGAGTGACAAGCATCAAGAGCCGCTTAATGGTCAGGTTGGAGATGAGTTCGAACTCTTCTTGGGTGAGGATTCCATTGGCCTCCCAGTTTTCGTACCAGAAGCGGTCGCCGTGACGGATACGCATGAACTGGTCAAACAGGACTTCGCTGAAGAGCTCTCCTGGACCTGCTGGAATGTCCGGCGGGAGGAGGTTACCGAATCCCGAAGGAACAGTTTCTGCCAGCGCACAGGCCCAGATGTCGCACTTGCTGATGTCGTTGTTGTAAACCTCTCGAAGGTTTTCGATCGACCGCGTCACATCGTCAACCATACCGTACAGTGGATTGAGGTCCTCGAAGCTCAAAACAGGTGGCAAGCCATAGGCCATGCGAGCAGAATTGAAATCAGGCAAACCGTGGTCCCTAGCTCTCTGCATGTTGATGGCCATAAGATCTCGCCTGGAGAAGTCGAGAGGTCCGAAAACCTTGCCCCTCAGGTCAGGAGTGATGATGGTGTCCTCTCTCTCCACTCGCTGGGAGGCCATTCCGAGGTAGAACGGATGAACGTTGGTGGCTCTGATCGTAACTTGCGGGTTCCAGTAGGAATTGCAGGTACGAACCACAAAGTGTCGACTATCTGCCGTAGTGTAGTTGTAATTTCCATTGCTAAAAGCAGCCTCGTTCATGAAGTACGAATTGTTCAAAAATTGGTAAATGGCTCCATACTCCTCAATCGCATTCCCATTTGTATCGGTAAGGAAATCGGGGTACGGGGTAAAGAATTTATCGATTACGTCTTGATAAGTTTTTATTTTTATTTTCTTTTCTCCTGTTAGACCAAGCTTTTGGTTAATCACCTCAATGAAGGAGTTCAGACCGTCCATATCAGGTGAAATCGGACTTCCGAATGAACAACTATTAGGGTTATTAGGCACACTGCAAAGGGAAGAATGCAGTCACATGATACAGTATCAGAAACGCAAGCAATGAAACTTACAATTCCCTCCTCCAGATTCCAGGGGTGACCATGGTGTGTCCGAATCTCATTGCAGCCGACTGGAAGATGTGGGCAATCTGTGGATTGATTGCAGGGTTGTACCCCGTTCGGCGAAAGTAAGCGCTGTAGCCCTCGGTCTCTGCGTAGGCTGGGAGGCCGTCGGGGAGCTTGCGAGGGATGAAGATGGGGAGCCACTCGGCGTAGACAATGTGCTGGTGGGTGGCAATGGTGAGCATACGGGCACGGTTGTAGAGCCACTCGTCATCTTCGTACAGTTCGCGGGTGTGGCTGTCTTCAGGGAGCGTCTGTCCAAAGCTGTACAATCTCTGTGCCCAAAAGTTGTGGACTCTGAACCAGAGGATACCCATTGTCAGCAGGAAGGGGTTCTCATTGCCACGAGGATTTCCGATCCCTAAAAAATCAGAAGTATGAATTGCAAGTATCTATGTACTAAGGCAACTTACTCCAAAAGCGGTTAACTTCAAAGAGAGAGTGGTTAGCAGGAGGTGGTGGATTGGCGAGAGGAAGACCGATTGTATTATCGGCTGGCAGAGAAAGTTTCAGTTCGTCATTGTTTAATGTCAGGAGTTCACCCTTTTCAAAGCTTCGAAGAGCATCGGCCCAGGCCTTGGTAATACCGTACATGAGTCCACCATCGAGCCACGGAGTGATTTCATTCAGCTGCATTCGTGGAACGTTTGGGCTGTAGCCAGTGCCGAAATCGTAGCGGTTTCGGAGGAAGGGGATGTATCTGTCACCACGGCAGTCGGCATCGTAGAGCGGATGGCACTTGGGGACCAGCATGTCCTCGTATTCAGGGATGCAGCCAGGTCTTTGGGCATCCAGCATCTCCTCCACAACTTGCTGACCTGAAGGATGGAAAATCATGTTATCATGAATACTTCTACCGGTGCAGCAGCCTCTCTATCCAGGGCCCAAGAACGTAGCAGTTCATGAATAAGTGGAAAGGAGGTAGGGGGCAGTGCTACACTTCCTGTACAGAGAATAATTAGTAATTCCACCCCTTTTTCCTGCAAGACTGGTCATGTCGAGATAAGATTTCCACCCCCTTTTGCCAATAGTCATATATACACCTACTTTGAGCTCACTGAAAAGCTTACCAAAGAAGATGAAAAGGGCGGTCCTTTCTCGTGAACCAAACCCAGTCAGTCCGTTCTGAGTGACGTTGGCAATGAGCAGAACGTTAGGTCTGTCCTGTCCAGCGATCTCGTACACGCCGTCTGGGTATGCCACCGGCGTCTTCCTCTCCAATGGCATATCTGCAAAATATTTTGCAATTATTCACTCAATGCAGCGCACAGGCTATTATCGTTTTACCTGCACCACCCCAGTCGGGATGAGCCGGATTGTTGTACCAGCCGTCGTAGCCCTCCCATTCGAAGCGCAAGTATTCCTCATCGTCGCGACTAGAGTTTTCGAAGGCGTTCCTTAGTCTCTCTTCGAAGTATTCTTCGAAAGATTGCGATTGCGCCGAAACTTGCAGTCCGCAAGCTGCGATTGCAGCAATCGTGACCGCCAAGGCGATCGTTGTGCGCATTTTCTCGCTTCGTCCAATACAGATCCTGGGCAGGAGAGTACCAAGATGGTCTGCAACAGTTTGGACGGGATTTTGCGCTGCAACCCGAAGCACTTATAGCGGTGCCGGGAAAGTAATTCATACTTGCGTTCCGCTGCGCCGCCGTGCGCCACCACACGAGCATGCGCAACAACGGGGAAAAGCATGCAGCAACATTCTATTCTACAACTTGGCCTAAACTACAGAGTTCAGCTCTACTAAATCACTCAAGTCAGCGTTCCTTTCGCTATTGTCTATTAGAAGTTTAGAAGTTCTCGAAGTGGTGGAGGAAGGCTGGCCCCTCGAAGCGGTTCGTGGCAGCACAGGCTTCTTCCACACCGTTTGTCATCCCTGGTGGACCGCAGGAGAACACACCGATCTGCGGAAGCAGGATGTAGTCCTCCTGGAGGCTGTCGAAGAACTGGTTGAAGTCCGGACGGCCAAAGTGGGTGACAGAGCGCAGTCCGGTAAAGAGACTGCGTCCAGAGAGCTTCTGAAAGTGCCTCTCGCAGATGTACTGTGCGGAAAAGAGAAAAACGAATGGCACACGACTTTAAGAGCTGGAGTACAAATTTACCAGCATAGTGGTACGAAGGTCAAACTTGTCGAAGAATTGGGTGACGAAGATGTGATTTTCTACCAGACCCTTTGTATCTGCGTCTTCCACATCCTTTGATGATGTCGGTGAACCACTCCCACTGCTTCTGGCTACGTGTCACCCAAATGAAAAACACCTGAATTGAAGGAGGAAAAAAATTTGAGCTGCAGAAGTCAAATTTTTATTTGTAAAAACATACCTTCTTGCACTCCACGCGGGCTCCGATGTTGAAACGGTGGACCAGCTCCTTCAGGATCGAGGAAAATGGAGTAACACCAATGCCTCCACCAACCAGCACCGACACTTCGTAGCTCGTCCAGTCCTGGTGCCCCTCCCCAAATGGACCATCGATGAAAACCTTTGGGTATGGCTGGCCACGGAGGTTGACTGGGTTGTAGTGCTCTCGGAAGTTGTAGGTCCACGGTCCGACTGCACGGATGTGGAGACTGAGGTAGTCCTCGTGTGGAGCGGAGCTGATGGTGAAGGAATGGAACTCTCCGGGATTCTGGGCACTGCTGGCAATCTTGACCCACTGCCCAGCCTTGTAGTCGAAGCTAGTCGGCCGCTTGAAGTAGATCCCCACAACAAGAGATGGGAGTATGTCGGCACGAATGACGGCCAACTCTTGCTTCCTACGGCTAACGCTGACGATCAGGTCCAGGGAGTAAACGATGCCTGGCCCGAGGAAGAAGTTGCCGAAGAGTGGATCCTGAACAAGACGTCCAGATCCGTGCAGGAACATGAGAATGTAGAAGGCAATGTAAAAGTGGTGGGTTATCCAGAAGGCCTGGAAGGTGTAGCGACGAGCGTACTGAGTGGCAAAGACGTAGATGATGACGGTCACAAGTGTAAGTACGAAGGCGCTAAAGCCTGTCATTGTCAGGAAGAGCCAGTAGGTGAATTGTGGAAGAATGTGAGTGCGACGGTAGACCTCTCTGAAGATGCAATTCAGGTCGCCAGGCGTCTGGGTGGAGATGTGGTAGAAGTTGATTCCGTGACCGATGCCGTGACAGATGGTGAACGCCAGCGCAGTCAGAGCGACAATCTTGTGGAAGGAGATGTAGGAATCAAAGGGGATGTAGTTGTTGAACATGGTCTCTCGCAAGTAGGTGATGAAGTTACGCGACATCGTGAGAAGGAGAACAGAGTATGTCCACATCATAGATGAAGCAGCACCACGAGTGACAGTGACACCATAACCAGCGATCCTCCGCAGACCAGCGTGCTCTCGCTCCACAGAGTAGTAGTAGGACCTCTCCACAAAGATGCAAACCGTGACAAAGAAAAAGATCGAGAGCCAGAAGATGTGAAGCTTGTAGTTCTCGATAATGCGGAGGAAAATGCTGAGGTAGCGGCCGTACACAGATTTTGTAAGCTTACGTGACTGGATGGGGATCTCGCGCGAGAGTGTCTCAGTTCCTTCCTCAGCAGGTGCACTAGTTGCCCCGCGTGGGTCTCCCTTGGTTGTGCGACCGTAGGCCTTGACGACTGTGCGACGTGCACGTGCGGTGGCAGTCTCGCGGGCTCGGTAGCGTGTCGGAACAACTTCGGCCGCTCCTTCACTTTCGCTGGCACCGGGCTTTTCTGGGATATCCACGTCGATTCCGCTGATGTTGAGGTGGGCACTGCTGAGCTGCTCCTTGTGGTCGCGCAAGAGAACGTTGAAATCATCGAGCGTGAGCTCCTGCTTGTTCTGGAATCCGGCCGACATGAACATTGATTCGATAAGCCCGTCCATCTGGTCCGGAGACACCGAGGCATTCACCAGCTCCATCATGGCCTTGAGCATCTTCTTGAACTCATCGCGACTCAGTTGCCCACTCTTGTCGACATCGTACATCTCAAACATGAGCTTTATCTTGTCCTCGGGGGAGCCCTTGGCAAAGATGACGATCATGTTGAGGAACTCGCGGAAGGAGATGAACCCGTTGCCGTCCTGATCAATGAGCTGGAACATCTGCTCCACAAAGAGTGAATCCTTCTTGAGGGACATAGCGTCGGCAAACTCTTCCTTGTTGAGCTCACACTCCAAGATGTCCTTTCGGGACTCCCCGATATCTCCTGTGACTGCTCCACGCCCTCCCTCACGGAAGACCGACTTGAAGAAGTTTTCGAGAAGTCGCTGCCTGTCCCTCTTGGTGTACGTCTCGCTCAGCAGCTGTTTCTTGAGCGGTTCTTCGACCACCACTGTGATTCCATTCTCGCCCATGAAGGTCTGAATGTTCTCGACGAACGCCGTGCGGTCTAGCGGGGTGGAACAGCGGAGGATGATGTCGTATTCGTGGGGGATTCGCACGACAAAGTGCCGGTCATCATTGAAGGGCCTGCGTATCGTCACTTGCGACTGATACCGGAGGTCGACCTCCCTGTAGATTTCATCGCCGGAAAACAGGACAAGCCGCTTCCCTGGTCCGAACTTCATGCTCACTGTACGAGTCTCGCTCTTGATGCCAGCTTTCATTTCGTGGGCAACCAAAACTTCACCGTCACCCGAAGTGACATCGTTGCCTTCAATGTGCTTAGGCCTGTGTGTGCGGGCAGCTGCCTTGACCTTCTCCCTCCGGTACTGGTTGTACGCAGCCAGCAAGAACATGGCCATGATTACAAGTCCGACATAGAGGAACGTGATTCCCCAGATGACAGGGACCTGCCACACAGAGTCGTTGTAGTAATAGTCGAAGCCTTCGAGCCCGGTACAGTCGTCCATGTAGAGCTCACTGAGCTGGAAGGGCTGGGGGCAGACAGTCTCATCCGTAAACTCAAACGGATTTTCCGACAAGTCCTCATCTCTGATGGGAGTGACAAGCATCAAGAGCCGCTTAATGGTCAGGTTGGAGATGAGTTCGAACTCTTCTTGGGTGAGGATTCCATTGGCCTCCCAGTTTTCGTACCAGAAGCGGTCGCCGTGACGGATACGCATGAACTGGTCAAACAGGACTTCACTGAAGAGCTCTCCTGGACCTGCTGGAATGTCCGGGGGGAGGAGGTTACCGAATCCGGAAGGAACAGTTTCTGCCAGCGCACAGGCCCAGATATCACACTTGCTGATGTCGTTGTTGTAAACCTCTCGAAGGTTTTCGATCGACCGCGTCACATCGTCAACCATACCGTACAGTGGATTGAGGTCCTCAAAGCTCAAAACAGGTGGCAAGCCATAGGCCATGCGAGCAGAATTGAAATCAGGCAAACCGTGGTCCCTAGCTCTCTGCATGTTGATGGCCATAAGATCTCGCCTGGAGAAGTCGAGAGGTCCGAAAACCTTGCCCCTCAGGTCAGGAGTGATGATGGTGTCCTCTCTCTCCACTCGCTGGGAAGCCATTCCGAGGTAGAACGGATGAACGTTGGTGGCTCTGATTGTAACTTGCGGGTTCCAGTAGGAATTGCAGGTACGAACCACAAAGTGTCGATCATCTGCCTTAGTGTAGCTGTAATTTCTATTGCTAAAAGCAGTCTCGTTCATGAAGTACGAATTGTTCAAAAATTGGTAAATGGCTTCATACTCCTCAATCGGATTCCCATTTGTATCGGTAGGAAAATTGGGGTATTTGTCAAAGAACTCCTCGATTACGACTTCAGTACTATTTATTCTGACTTTTTGGTCTCCTGTCAGACCACGCTTTTGGTTAATGACCTCAATGAAGGAGTTCAGACCTTTCATATCAGGTGAAATCGGACTTCCGAATGAACAATTATTAGGGTCTGGCACACTGCAAAGGGAAGAATGCAGTCACATGATACGGTATCAGAAACGCAAGCAATGAAACTTACAATTCCCTCCTCCAGATTCCAGGGGTGACCATGGTGTGTCCGAATCTCATTGCAGCGACTGGAAGATGTGGGCAATCTGTGGATTGATTGCAGGGTTGTACCCCGTTCGGCCAAAGTAAGCGCTGTAGCCCTGGGTCTCTGCGTAGGCTGGGAGGTCGGTGGGGATCTTGCGAGGGATGAAGATGGGGAGCCACTCGGTGTAGACAATGTGCTGGTGGGTGGCAATGGTGAGCATACGGGCACGGTTGTAGAGCCACTCGTCATCTTCGTACAGTTCGCGGGTGTGGCTGTCTTCAGGGAGCGTCTGTCCAAAGCTGTACAATCTCTGTGCCCAAAAGTTGTGGACTCTGAACCAGAGGATACCCATTGTCAGCAGGAAGGGGTTCTCATTGCCACGAGGATTTCCAATTCCTAGTAAGAGAAGAAGAAAATCAAACGATATTACTAACACACGCAGAAAACTTACTCCAAAAGCGGTTGACTTCAAAGAGAGAGTGGTTAGCAGGAGGAGGTGGATTGGCGAGAGGAAGACCGACTGTATTAACAGCTGGCAGCGAGAGCGTTAGGTCATCATTGTTTAGTGTTAGGAGTTCACCCTTTTCAAAGCTTCGAAGAGCATCGGCCCAGGCCTTGGTAATACCGTACATGAGTCCACCATCGAGCCACGGAGTGATTTCATTCAGCTGCATTCGTGGAACGTTTGGGCTGTAGCCAGTGCCGAAATCGTAGCGGTTTCGGAGGAAGGGGATGTATCTGTCACCACGGCAGTCGGCATCGTAGAGCGGATGGCACTTGGGGACCAGCATGTCCTCGTATTCAGGGATGCAGCCAGGCCTTTGGGCATCCAGCATCTCCTCCACCACTTGCTGACCTATAAATTTTGCAATTCGAAACTTTCATACGCAAAATACCCAGAGATTTCACATGCGAAAAATACACATGTGAAGAGTTCATACCGAAAAAGATGAACAGTCCTGTCCTTTCTCGTGAGCCAAACCCAGTCAGTCCGTTTTGAGTGACGTTGGCAATGAGCAGAACGTTAGGTCTGTCCTGTCCAGCGATCTCGTACACGCCGTCTGGGTAGGCCACGGGCGTCTTCCTCTCCAATGGCATATCTGGAATAACAGAGGGAATGCTCAGCCCATTTCACAAGCACCGACTATCTATATATGTTATGTACTACGTGCGAGGGACATACCGGATTTCAATGAACCCGAGGGCCTCCGCGTTTGTAGCGGAGGGCCTGAGGGTTCATTGAAATCCGGTATGTCCCGAGTATACGGAGTACATAACATGTTTAGTGCAGAGCAAATCAGCTCCGTATACGCGCACAGCCGCGTTTCCAAGCAGAAAGATGCGAGAAAGAGACGAGAGCGCAAGACCGTCATCCGGTGCGGGACTATTGAACGCCGAACGCTAGGATACGCTGCTCCGCCGCTCTAGCTACTCCCGCTGCGGGGCTGTCCTCCGCCACTCATCCGAAGAAACGGGACAGGAGACCTGCGCGAACCATCGCAATCAGAGAGAGTCGAGAGTGGAGAATTCAGGCGCTGTGCGGGCTGCTATACCGAAGGCGTTCGCCTTAGTAGCTTTGTCGCGCGCACTCGCTCGCGGTGCCCCACCCCCTTATTTGCGTGTGGCGCGGTGGTTTGTGGGCGGGCGTGAGCTGCCTGGCTATCTATATGTACATGGCAAGGAAGGAGATGGGCTCAAAGCAGACACAGAAAACTGTCTCGTGGAAAAAGCTCACGAGGTTCATATGAGAAATCAGGAACCTCGTACTAACAAATCTGATTGGTCGATTCGAATCAGCTATGCACTAAATATACGTACCTGCGCCGCCCCAGTCGGGGTGAGCGGGGTTGTTGTACCATCCGTCGTAGCCCTCCCATTCGTATCCCGGCTCTTCTTCCATCGCTTCTTTGCGTTCTTCATACAGCTCATAGAGAACTTCTTCCACTCTCATGTTGTACGCTTCAGTGAAATCTGCAGTGAAAAGAAGCACAAAGTGAAAAACTCGCAGCTACGGGCCAGGGTTTCCTTACTTCGACCGTCGAACATGGCTCCGGAGCCAATGTCCGTTTGGGCGTTCGCCCAGCTCGCCACTGCGAGCAGAAGCAGGCACAGAGTCCCGCGCATTTCCACGTGCACCAGCAACGTCTGTCTCTCTCACGGTAATGAATCAACGTCGGCCGTTACACGGGTGGTGAATATAACGCTGCAGCACTAACGCACTCCGCGAGCGATAATGCGAAAAGCGGACTGACCCAAGGGTTATTCACTGAAAGCTAGCGCGGAAGTGAGCCACACCCTGTAGAGTAGATAAAACGGTGTCAGGGCCGCGTCAATAGCGTGTTAGGCCCTGATTTTGTACTGTCTCCTAATCTCCAGCCCTGATAGTAGAAGTGACGCCACGCGTGCGCAGCACTTGGCTTACATACAACGCAGCGATACGCCCAGTTTTTATCTCCGGTCCCGTTACTCCCACTTACTTTTCTTCTTCAACCGCGTATCGGAGCTCACAGCGAGCGTGCGAGAGAGCAACCATGGGAAATTCGTTTCGTCTGCAGCCAGGGCCGACGCTCTATCCGGAGAACAAGACTCCGGTGACGGAAGATGTACTGGAGATCGGGCTGGTCGTGGCGTTCGCCGTGATCGCCTTCTCCTTCATTCTCATCATCCCAGGAATCAGAGGCTGGGAGGTACCTGCGTTTATGGACACTATCCGCGTGTAGTTTTTACCTGTCCCCACTCTCTTGCAGCGTTTATGGGCGACGTTGCGAGTGCTCATCACGCTGTTTATCGGCTGCATACTGCTGATCGCCAACTTCAGCTACGAGTGGTACTCGGACGAGGCCTGCGTCCTCACCCAGTACAAGGCCTACGTGTTCCCCGTGGGTATCGAGCAAGAAATCGAGGCCAGGGTGGGTCTCCACATCGGGCTCCGCGGATTCAACGTCACCCTGAAGGAAATGTCGCTGGAGGAGTGTCTCGGGAACGACGATGCGGGCGACTACGTGCGGCCATTCCCCGGCGAAGAGATCAACTACAACGAGCAGTTCTATTGGGCGAACCCGTGGGCGCAGGGCCGGCTCGGTTTCGGGAGGTTCGCCGGGCGAGTCTCGCGGGAGTTCCGCGAGGCGCAGCGAGAGGGAAAGCCGTACCCGATCCTCTGGATCGCCGAGTACTTTACGCTGGACGGAGAGCAGATTCGTTGGGGCCGCAAGTTCCGCCAGGCCGGTTGGTATACCCACCAATGTATGTGGTAAGTAGCCCAATCTGATTCGGCCAGAAAAATTTCCCAAATTGTTTTTCTCCTCAGGCTTGCATTTGCTCTCTACCTTGTAACTATTCTGCTCTACGTCTTTGTCATTCGACTGGGAGCCTACTTCACCATGCTGACTGGCAGCATCATGATCCTTGCCTGCTTTGCCTTTGGAGTAATCATACTGAACGATCCGAAGATGAAGATACCGTTTTCAAACCCGGTCGACCACACGGTGTTTGTCGACCCACAGTTTGGGTGGTCGTGGTACCTGACTCTGTTCACTGGTATCGGTACACTCGTTCTGGGCCTGGTCGTCTTGCTTATGGACTTCTTCCTGCCACGCAAGATTGCAGTCGTGTTCCACCACAGTGTGGTTGAAGAAGACGAATTCTTTGCTGTAAGTGCTGGCTTTCGGTACTTGTACTTGTGTCACTGGTATATATCTGTTTGTGCATGCAGCAAGATGAGGACGAAGTGGAGGAGGTAGGAAAGGGCGAAGAGTTTGGGGAGAAATTGGGTGGCCGCACGCGAGCCACGCGTCGCGGCGGTGCTGCACGTGGAGGAACCACCCGCCGTGGAATCAGCCGTTATCGCAAGACGGACCGCAAGCCGAGGAGCACCGTTCGCTCCACCGGTGGTGGGTCCCAGCGCCGTGTCGAGGAAGGCGGGATCCCTCTCACGGAAATCCAGACTGAGACGTGATCCTCTCCCTCCACGTGTGAACCCTCGAATGGAACAAACTGACTGTAGTATTAATCTGCCTTTAGTATAGGCTGCAGTAGAAGGTAGTCTGTACGTATATGCATTATGTATGATTAATGCTAGAAAATTGATTTTCAGCTGCAATGCCAAGATATGCAGCACTGACAATCACGCCACAACACACTCCCTCTCAATGAATAAGGATGTGTGGGCGAAGTCGCTGAGATACGCTGGGTTTTCATAAGTACACAAGGAAAAACTGTATATACATTCAGAATCAGTGAGGTGGGGGGAAAAGGAGATACGAAAAGTAGTTAGGCATGTTGAGTCCATTGGTCTTACACAGCACACGGTCCCAATGTGTAGGTCTGCCAAAAGGATGCATGTGTTTATAAGCCACACTATTTCTATCTCTTCGGCCCTGCGAAAGGCAGAGGCTTCACTCTTGCTGTTGCTGCACTTTGACAGTGAAGCGGGTGATGGGTTTGATGAAGTGGTAATCGGTGGTGTTACAGTGGGGACACTGGTGCTGATGGGAGAGTTGGGAGAAGCTGAGGGTTACTGAGCCCGGATCGAGGAGCTGGTGCCGGCACTTGCTGCACTCCGTACTCGCCTTACAGCAGGGCAGGGACGCAAACAGATCATAGTTGTACATTGTCCCGATCTGGTGCGCGTTGCCGTTCCAACTCTTGGAGCAGTAGGTACAGGTGACCTTATTGATGCCCACCAGGCACTTGAGGCAGACGGCGGATAGAAACAGGGGGTCGTCGGTCTTGCTCTCAACTTCGTAAGAGCAGGTGTTGGCTTTGAGAGGAGAGAGGTAGAAGGTGCCATCGATGAGAGGGAACTGGTCGTAAACAGAGAGGTGTGACCTACACAACACGCAGAGGACCTGGCTAGTTCGGTGGAAGGCAAGACTGGCGAGAACGAATGAGCGAGTGTCGTCGCCAGCGCCGTACCCGTCATCCTCCATCTTGATGTGGTACGAGTTGACGAGGTGGCGGGGTACGAGACGCTCAAGGATCTTGTAGCCGGTTCGGTGCGAGAAGGGTTGCATGTAAGGTGTGCCGTTTTCGCTCGAGACAGAGTCGCTGTTGTTTCTTCCACTCCGTGCGCGAGACCGGACGATCCCGTTGGGTACCGTCTGGTTAGTGGTGGACATCTTCTCCCCGAGTGACCGCTTCCGTTTCCGCTTCAGTTTTTCTGCAGTCTCGGCTGACATGCTAATGTCTTTCTTTAGCGTCCCCTTTGCACAGCGACATGTGCACAGTTTGTACACCAGGTCGTAGCCTTTCTTTGTCCACAAGTTCTGTCTTCGTTGCTTCTCCGACCAGTTTCGAGCCCGGCTCATCCCTCGCAGGCAGCTCAGCATCTGCTCTTCGAAGCCGACGAAGCACTCGTGGTGCATCCACTGGCTGTACGGACACTTGTCGTTGCTGCACTGCATCTTGACGGAGTCCACGTCCGGACTCGCGGGGTCAACGGAGTCCCCCAGGAGGCACGTCTTGGGGGAGCAGCAGAGGGGGAACGATTCGGGAGGGCCCGCCTTGCTACTCGCGGAGTCTCCTTCGCCATCACACAGATCCCACTCGCCGCCCATTGTCTTGGTTCTGGGTGGAGACAGGTGGGCCTGCAGACCGAAGTCTGAGCCAGATGACACGGTTCTTCGCCTCCCCTTCTCCTTAGCCATGGGCATAGCGCGCACGTTTCCACCCAAGATACCCTATTAGCCGGCCTCCACGCAGTTAACCAGTCTCGCACCTCGCGCTCCAAGGAGCTTCTCGAAATCCCGGCCGGTTTTCCTGATTCTGTGGACAGTGCGCGGCGGGGAAAGGACCTTCTGCTGGTGGCTAGCACACTTCCATTTTAGCTTCTCGCTATGATTTGGTCCGCCCCACCCATCCGCCCACGTCCGCGTACCTCCGTAAATCAGCGAGGCCACGTGGAGCTTTCCGACTTTTTTCGCCAAGGGGACAGGTAAAACGCTGCTCACAGGGCCCCAGCATGGCGCTCCCAATTCCGAGAACCGGTCTTGCTACCATGCTAAAGGATGGAGCGAGGGTGAGCTACACCCACAGACACTAGCTACACACGTAACCTACACGATTCCTCACTCGATCGTTTTTAGCACTTTCATGGACTGGAAGAGGCAGTGTATCGGAATATTAACGCCTGCAAGGAACTGTCTGTGGTGACGCGATCGGCATATGGACCAAATGGTGAGCTTGGTGCACAGCTGCCCCACTGTCTGCCAAGCTAAAGAAACTGACATGTCCTGAAAATGGTCTGGTATGATTTCTCGGTAATCTCCAACTGCCACTACTCAATGAACACCTGTATGCAGAGTACACCTTTGTAAACCAGCAGTTAAAATGTGCTGACTCGGCACAACTGATGCATTTTGAATGTTGGACACCAGATCCTTTTTCTGGGTAGGCAGGTGGGAGGGTCTGAAAGGCACACTAACATACCATCATGATGAGGCTGATAAAAGGAGATTATAAGCATATCTCTGCCAGTTGGATGTAATGGGAGCCTTAGAAGTATCCCTACGAAAATTCAACTGTCCCCTCTGTAAAATACGTCAACAAATTTTGCCCCCCCCCCTCCCCCCAAAGTGGAATACTGCGAATTGTGGAGGGCATTGCAACATGTAGTGATGAGGGCCAGCTCACTGAGACTATTGAGGCATCGTTCGCCCCATTGTCGAAAGAACATTGGTGTTGTGGTCGTCTGTACGTTGAGAACATGAGCAGTAGAATGCCTTTGTTTGCACTGAGGAGCCTCTATGACACGCACACACTCTATCCCTATGACTCATCTACAGGCCACCAGCTTGCCTAATTCACCTGGAATTCTGACGTGTGTTGGTTGCTATGTTAGTTGCCTGACGCACGTCTGGTTGCCAGGTGGACTGCGTGTGCTTACAACACGTGTATTGTTCCTACACTGTTGCTTGCTGATTATGACCCTGTAGTAACCCTCTTTAAAAGAACCACCTGAAATGAGGACACCTCTCTAATAAGGACACATTTTCTCTCCCCAAGAACCTCACTCTTTCTTCTATCCCATTGGTGTCCAAAGAAGGGGTCCCACAGTATTAAGAGATGCTTTGCATCGAGGGAGAATAGTAAGCGTGAGAAAATATTTGGGTTAGCCCGTGTTGCTTGCGTTATGAAACCACGACAGGCATGAACAAGATGGTGATCAACCACTTGGAGAAGCTGTTTGTCACTAAAGACACCGGGACTGTCATCAAGGAGCTGGAGGTGGAGCATCCAGCAGCCAAGATGATGGTCATGGCCACACAGATGATGGAGCAAGAGGTGAGGGGGTCAAGTTATGCAAGACTTTGTCACACATTCATTAACCCTACTCCCTCTCTCCCTCCTCTCTCCCCTTTCTCTCTCTCCTCCTCTCCTGTGAGGTGGGAGATGGTACCAACTTTGTCATGGTACTGTCGGGGGCTCTCATATCCAACGCAGAGGAACTCCTCAAGATGGGACTCTCCCCTTCAGAGGTTGCCGAGGGATACGAGTTGGCATGCGAGAAGGCTCTCACCATTTTGCCAGGTGAGGGGCGTAGTGCACTGCAAAGATGGTTAAAAAAAATTACTAGTATGGGACACTGACTTGTTATGCTGGAATTCAAAAAGATTCGGAAACCGATTCCAGTGTTATGCGTAAATAATGCACTTTTTCAGGCTTGTCAGTTTGCTCCACTGACCAATCAAATTGGAGTGTATCAAATCAAATGAAGAAGTGTTTGTTTTGCTGTATATAGATTTGGTGTGTCACACACTGAGTGACCTGAGGTCAAAGGAAGAGGTGGTCAGAGCGCTGAGAACCTCTCTGGCCAGCAAACAGGTGTGGAGTGAGATAGAAAAACTGTAACTTAGCTATTATTAGCGAGCTATTGATAGGAACATGCATATTAGGACATGTTGATGGGACCGAAATATGCTTTCCTGCTGTATCCCGTACGTGGGAAGTTTTAGGGGCGCAACAATGTGAGTAATATGCTCAGTGTGTAGGACTGAATCACTGGTGTCAACTGATCAACTAGTGTCAGCCCTGATTCAGTCTTGACACGGGGTTGATACGACCGGAAACAGTGCATTCCAACCCCAAAACTGAGTAAACTTGATATAGTGCAGGCATAGTAGTGCCTCCCTCAGATGGTGTCTGTTTGCATTGAGTAGTGGTGCTATAGCCTTGTAACTTGTATGTAGTACTCCTTGTGTGGTGCACGAGTACATATTTGTGTGGGAATATTGTAGCGAGGGTATGTTTCCTGTTATTGCCTAGGAGGTTCTTAGCGTTCACATTCTCTCTCTCTCTCCCTCTCCCCCTTCTTTCTCTCTCTCTCCTCCATTTTTTACTCTTCCTCTCTCCCCTCCATTTTTTTTACTCTTCCTCTCTTTTTTTCATTCCTCCCTACCTCTCTCCCCTCCATTTTTTTCCTCTTCCTCACTCGTCCTTCCAATGATAGTATGGACATGAAGATTTCCTAGCCAGTCTGTTAGCCGATGCTTGCAGTAAGTCAAACCCACTTCACACACACACACACACTGTATACTCTCTCTCTCTCATTGAGAGTTGTTCCCAATATCGTGGTGTGTTCCTTTCACTGTTTTCTCCCACTGTTGTTCAGTATCCATCTTACCAGAGGATCCTCGCAGTTTCAATGTTGACAATGTCAGGGTGGCTAAGATCCTGGTGAGCTCTTTGTATGCCTTCTCTCATTTCTCCCTTCCCTATAAGACCCCTGTATACTGATACATAAATCCTTTTTTTAAAACTTCTTCGAAATTTTGTAGGTTTTAGAGCCATGCTGATGTTCATTTTTTTAGTGAACTCTCATTTTTTTGATGTAAAACTACTCAAAGCACAAAATTTTTACTTACACCTTGTGTGCAGGGCTCTGGGGTGCTGGCCACAACGGTCATGAATGGCATGGTCTTCAAGAGAGTGGTGGAAGGTAAGGGAGCTAGAGAAAAGGTGTCCTGAAAATAACCTGTCCTGATAACATTTGGTGTCCTGAAAGAAATTTAAAGCTGGCCTATCTTGGTGAGAGAGATGTCGTGTTCCTGCAGGTACCATCGATCGAGCCACCGACGCCAAAATCGCCGTGTACTCGTGTCCGTTTGACTCCACGGCAACGGAAACCAAGGGAACGGTACTCCTGAAGACGGCCAGTGAACTCAAGACGTTCAGCAAGGGAGAAGAAGACCTAATCGAAAGAGTGAGTGTTACACCTAATAAGGAAGTATGGAAAGTGTGCATATTACTCTGGGGAAAGTGGGCATTTATGACATTTTTTGTGTTTGACATTGTCCCAGCAAAATTGTTGGATGTTTCGGTTGAAGCTTTGCAAAGTACTGCTGTGATGTAATGTGTGTGTGTGTGTTGAATGCAGCAAGTGAATGCTCTGTCAGAGCTGGGTGTAAAGGTGGTGGTGTCAGGTGGGAAGGTTGGAGAGATGGCCCTCCATTTTCTCAACCAGTACAAGATCATGGTGGTCAGGTGAGGCTGTCCTCTCTCTCTCTCTCTCAATCTAATTAACGCTCACTCCTTCATGTCGTTGTTCAGACTACTGTCAAAGTTTGATCTGAGGAGGCTGTGTAGAGCTGTAGGAGCCACTGCTCTACCTAAAATGGTCCCTCCTAGCCAGGAGGAGATGGGTCACTGTGATGTGGTCGAAGTCCAAGAAATCGGAGGCACGAATGTCATCCTCTTCACTCAGAAGGCTGGCGACAGCCGTATCGCCACCATTGTGGTGAGAAATCATATCACAGACGACATCAATGATGGACACCTGCAACATGTTGTGTGTAATGGACGACTCTTGTACCAAAATATGTTGCGTGGTTGGTAGAGCACTCGCCTCGACAGCAGAGTGTCGTGGGTTCGAATCCCACCCGGGGCAGCTCTTTCTTTTCCTTGGAAGGAAAGAGCTGTCCTGGGTGTAGTTGACTTGTTTGCTGTGCCTTTTGCCGTGCTACACCACCTCACTTCATTTTGTCTCATTTGGTCTACATGCACTGAGACTCTGCTCTCACCCAACACAACTGCGGTGTGTATGTTAGTTCTAAGAGGGCGTTGCCCGCTGCTGTAGGTACGAGGGTCGACAGACAACATAATGGACGACATTGAGAGAACCGTGGACGACGGAATCAACACCTTCAAGTGCCTCACCAAGGACGGGCGGTTTGTTCCCGGAGCTGGGGCCACAGAGATCGAACTCGCCAGACAGCTTGCTTCTTATGGAGAGGTATATAATTAGTATATTATTATAGGGATGACACAGGTTGTCCTGCATTATGCCCATACATTTGAGATTTTCATGTTTCATTTTTATATATAATACTCACTGAAAATTACCCATTCTATATGAACCTCCAAATATGGGCAGTTCGCCTCCAAATAAAGGACACTTACACAACAATGTGTCCCGTGTTCAAAAGGAAGAGGAGAGAGAGGGAGAGAGAGAATACATAGGTGTAGGGAGAGGGTTAAAATTGGCGACGTGTTTGCTGCAGACTTGTCCGGGAATGGAGCAGTACGCCATCAAGAAGTTTGCAGAGTCGTTGGAGGCGTTACCTCGTGCCCTAGCTGAAAACTCCGGAGTAAAGGTATAAATGACATACACCCCAAGACACACATACACATACAGTATACTTCGTATTGCTGTGCTAGAGTAGCATACGTTGTGGTGCTGACTTCTACTTATTGTTTTTCTATACTCGATGTAGAGAATGTAGCTGTTTTTCTCCTCCCTCCCTCCCTTCTTCCTTCTCCTCTCCCTCCTCCCCGCCCCACAGGCGATGGAGGTGGTGAGCAAACTGTACACAAGCCACCAGGCAGGGGACCAAAACTCAGGGTTCGACATCGAGGGAGAGGGGGCCGCTGTGAAAGACGTGGCAGCTGCCGGGATCTGGGACCTCTACCTGGCCAAGATGTGGGGACTCAAACTGGCCACTAATGCAGCTGCAACTGTCCTCAGAGTTGACCAGGTGTGTTCCCTCTGTGCTGTGCTGTGTCACCTACACTGTGCCTGTGTTCTATGTTCTCTGCTCTCTCTGTTAATGGCTGTGGTTTGTAGAGTGGACAAAAATCTACACAAACCTCCCCTCATAATGTTCTGTGGTTACTCCGTAGAAGTGTGGTATATACATGGTTTGTGCAAACCGGGTGTAAGGAGTTTACAAGTGTACATTTCAATATAGGCAGCAGTGTGTGTTGTGGGTTATTGCGACATGATTATGTAGAAGCTATGTAGCTGGAAGTGAGCGAGTGCATGTGGCTGTGTGCTTCAGTGCATCAGCCTTTAGAATTGCAAGGTGATAGCAGATGAAATGCAAATGAAGGAGTGATCTCGATCTTCCTCAGATTATCATGGCCAAGGCGGCAGGAGGACCGAAGCCACAAGACAATCCAGTTGTCAGGGACGATGAATAGGGGACAGAGTGTTGCCTGCATATCATGTGTATAGTATGCTTACTTGTATGTGAGGCCATTGATTAAAACACGGTTGATCCTCAGTTATCATTTTAACAGACGAAAGGCAGTTCAATGCAAGTTAGTCGTGACACTTTACCAGCCACAGACACATAAATGTGGGGGTTATAATACTCAGGTGCTAATACTTTTTACATCAAGTTCTGCTTGCTTAAGCAGATACCCATGGTGTACAAAGGGTTAAAAAAAGTCGGATGTTTGCAGATGGAACTGGGCTTCAATGTCTTCAAAGTTCAAGCGAGGCCAGATACTATATATGTACTGTGAGACAGAAAATAATAGCTGCTAGTTATAGACTTACTCCTGCCGCATTCTCTTGCACATTTGAACTCAAAATTCAAAATTTCATGACAAAAAAGAAAAGCAAAAAAAGTCACAAAAAATAATAACAATAAATTAACGACTATTTTCCTCTAGGTTATTATACAATATGTGCCATAATAGATCCTATACAGAGACACGCGTGTGTGTGTGTGTGTACAATGGGATGTAACAGTTCTGAGGAAGGGCGACGTTGCCTTCGAAGATGGGGATATTGTATATATGCAGCAGATGGAATAGCCGTTGATCAGAACAGGGACGGCTATGGGGTATGGGGAGAGAAAGCAGAGAGTAAAGCGTGTGCAATGATCTACGCGGGCTACTGTACGCTGTAGCCTACAGAAAAGGGAGAGAAAGCAGAGAGTAAAGCGTGTGCAATGATCTACGCGGGCTACTGTACGCTGCAGCATACAGAAAAGGGAGAGATGAGGTTAGAGATTTTAGAGGATCTGTTCTACCAGTTTTTCCTGGTTTTGTGTACCTGTGCATTCCCAAAGAGGTCTTGTTGGGGGCGCGTCTGTCCCACGGTGTAAGGTACAGAATGAGGCATCTGTCCATACACTCCCACTGGCTGATGTGCGGGAAGAAAAGAGAGAGGGCAGTGGGAGGTGCCAAACCCTTGCGGTATAGTGGACTTGTACCACGACAGAAACCGTAATGGATGAGGAAAAAAACTAACTTGATGTAAAAAAGTTCTACAACCGAATTTGAAAAGGGAGTGTGATGGGCTAAATTTAGAAACTGGTAGAGTGAAAATGGAAATGTACTACTTCATTTGCACTAGGCCCTAGTAACATTAGCTAGCTATTATCTTCATCTAAAACTTTTGCGTCACTCTGTAGTCAAACTATATTATACTACGTTGGTCTGGTGAGGTCACTGACCTGTTGTATCATGGTCGGCTGCACGGGGAAGTGTCCTGCGTGCATGCCCCCACTCCAGTTGACAGGCTGGCCGCCCCGCGGCTGAGCAGTCGCAGTCTGGGGGGTGAGAGAAGAGAGAGAATTAGAGAACTAAACAACGAGAGGCAAGTTAGGAGGAAAAATGCCCTTCCCCTAGCGAAGTTACCTAGAGTCATTTATAGAGTAATGCAGTGAAATTTTGCACTGACATTTGCTCACTAATCATACTGAGTGGAAGAAGAAATTTGAAGAGAGAAGAGCAGGAGTTCATACCACTTGAGGCTGTAGTGTTTGGGGTTGGATATGCATCTTCATGAAATTCTCTCCGCCAGTCTTCACCAGAGGAGCCGGTGGCTTCCACTGGTGCTCTGTCCTGCAACGCGAGGTGAAACACTCCAATTAATGCCCACCAACCAGAACACACAACTGAACAGTTTTTACTTACTTTTTCACCATTCCTGTTTTGTCGCCAATGAGACCTGCAGGGAGAAGAATTTTCATTGACTGCCTTCAAATAGTAAAATGTTTTCTAAAGGAGAGTCCCAAAGGTGTGCCTTATTTAGAGATGTCACTTTACCCCTAAACTCACTAAGGTTCTCTGCGGCCCGAACGAGACTCGACTCCACGTCAGTCGTCAGTCCAGACACCACCGGACCCCCCGGCATCTGCTTGACACTAGCGTGGGCCCCGACAGCCTCTGGGGTCAGGAGCGCCCCCATCCATCAGTGGAGTGACCCCCGGGGGGCCGCTCTGGACCCCCATCACAGAGGAGGAGGACCCACTGCCGAACACAGAGTCGAAGTCCGGCCGCGGTTTCCCGCGGATCTCCGAGAATAGATCCACTTCTTGGTAACCTGTACAAAAATTGCATGACACAAATTTCGGTCATTACACAAGTTTGAGAAACACGGCACCATTCTCTAAGGACACTTTCTTAGATACACTATACATGGGTGTATTACATCACATCCAAATAGATGACACTTGTACATTGGTCATTACACAAGTTTGAGAAACAGGGCACCTTCCTCTAAGGACACCGCTTGTATTACATCAATACAAATAGATGACACTTGTACAGTGGTCCATTACACAAGTTTGAGAAACAGGGCACCTTCCTCTAAGGACACTCGCTTGTATTACATCACATCCAAATAGATGACACTTGTACATTGGTCATTACACAAGTTTGAGAAACAGGGCACCTTCCTCTAAGGACACTCGCTTGTATTACATCACATCCAAATAGATGACACTTGTACATTGGTCATTACACAAGTTTGAGAAACAGGGCACCTTTCTCCCCCGCTCGTTCTCTAAGGACACTCGCTTGTATTACAGCACATCCAAATAGATGACACTTGTACATTGGTCATTACATCCCATATTCATCATGCATGCATTAGTAAAGGCTAACCTGACGAACCGCCCTGGGCCCAGCTGGAACCGGTGGAGGCAGCAAAGGAGTCAGATTGAAAGGGGTTATTGCTAGCGGAGGAGGAGGAGGAGGGGACGGAGTAAGTGGCAGCTGCAGTAGAGCGAGAGAAAACCTGCAGCTCGGCGAGGTCGTCCATGGCACTCCTGAGAGAGAGGGGTGAGAGAAAAAAGACAAACCAAGAGTGGTGGACAGAAAGAAAAGTGAAAAGATAATATAATATTGCAGAATTCAGAGGTGCGTGTGCGTGTGTGTGTGTGAACTCAGACTTCTTCTTGTCGGGGACGGGGCTGGACTTTGTGGCAGAGGTTGAAGCCATGGCGTCGAATAGCGAGTCCTCCTTTGATTTTGACTGTCCATCAGTTGAGGATGCCGGGGACCTCGCCTGGTTCTGGGGGAGGGGGAGACGGAATCATTCTTGAAAAAAACGGTAGTTACAATGTACGTATGTGACGCCTCCACATGTTGATGTAGAAACGCATGTTTTCACGTAAGTCTACATGAAACACATGACTCCACACATAGTCAACATGAAACACATGACTCCACACATAGTCAACATGAAACACATGACTCCACACTGATTCCACATGAAACACACTGAACCTACAAAATCTACATGAAACACACTGATTCCACACATAATCTACATGAAACAGACTGAACCTACAAAATCTACATGAAACACACTGATTCCACACATAATCTACATGAAACACACTGAACCTACAAAATCTACATGAAACACACTGATTCCACACATAATCTACATGAAATACACTGAACCTACAAATCTACATGAAACACACTGATTCCACACATAATCTACATGAAACACACTGATTCCACATGAAACACACTGAACCTACAAAATCTACATGAAACACACTGATTCCACACATAATCTACATGAAACAGAATGAACCTACAAAATCTACATGAAACACACTGATTCCACACATAATCTACATGAAACACACTGAACCTACAAAATCTACATGAAACACACTGATTCCACACATAATCTACATGAAACACACTGAACCTACAAAATCTACATGAAACACACTGATTCCACACATAATCTACATGAAACAGACTGACTCCACACATAATCTACATGAAACACACTGATTCCACACATAATCTACATGAAACACACTGAACCTACAAAATCTACATGAAACACTGATTCCACACATAATCTACATGAAACACACTAAAGTCTACATGAAACAGACTGACTCCACACATAATCTACGTGAAACAGACTAAGTCTACGCGAAACTCCATACATACAAGAAAATGCTGATTACTCACTTTTAGTTCTTCGAATCTCTTTCTCTGAGCCTCGAGTACGTCGCTGCTGGCGGTCGGCATGGCGACGTCGCCGGTCGACGTGGCGCCAGCAGAGGGGGAGGTCTTGTCGTTGTGTGAGGGGGAGGAGGAGGAGGGGGAGCTGTGGAGTTGGGCCAGTTTCTCTGACGCAGCCTTGATCTGCGGACTGATAAAGAGAAGGATGGGGGGAGTATAGAGTGTTTACTGGGACATCTCCTAAGGACACCTCTCTATAAAGGATACTGGTTCTGTTACTTGTGGCACCCAGTATAAAAATCACTTTCAATTTCCCTAAGGCCCTTTACTGCCATATCAATCAAATTCCGTTAGTACATCTTCACAAGCACCGCGAAAAAAGTCTTATCTAGTAAACAAGTTGTGGCAGACCTTGGCTGGGCATTGGCTGCCTTCTTGATGGAGTCCATTTCTGTGAGATGTGATTCCAGCGCAGGTAGTAGATCCTCCGGTACCTGACGGAGGTTGAGGTGACTCTGCTTGTCCACTCCTACATCCTGGGAGAGACGAGAGAGAGGGAGGAGAGAGGGAGAGAGACGAGGGAGGGAGAGGAGAGAGGAGAGAGGGAGGTAACAAATTTGCAGCTGTCTGTCTCCGCAAAATCCCCTTGAAATTACAGGAGGTCAGTGATCTCTCACCTCGGCCAGATGAAGGTACTTGTGGACTGGTTCTTGTCTAGTGATGAACTTCTTGTACGCAGCCATGGCTTCCTTACACTGAGGCTTCGTCATCTCAAAAAACTTCTCTGAAATTTTTTCAAACAACACTTCGCCCGTCAAATTTTACAAGTGTAGAACTGGCTCACCAAGAATATTTATGAGGGCGTCGTTGTACACTGCATACAATTTTATGAGGTCCTGCAAATTTTCGAAACAGTATTGACGATGACAATTTTTTATGGTGGGTAAATAATTTTTAGCTCAGAGAAATGGAAAGCACATTAAGAAAAGATAATAATACATGATGTGCGTATAATTATTGTATATACTTGCCTTATAGAGCATAAGGAAGGCTGTGTTGACGACTCCATTTGTTAAGTCGCCCGTACTGAACTGCAACAAAAGCAATTATATCACTTATTCAGACGACAATACAATATGAGAACTAGCTACATGCGGTGGTACCCTCTCTAAGGAAGCTTCTAAGATGAGGACACTTCAATAATATGGACACTTTCTTCTGTCCCATTGGTGTCTGGATTAGAGGGGTTCCACTGTATCTGTTCAATGTACCTCCATATTCATCATGAGATCCATTTGTTCTTGGACGACTGATGTTGTCTTCAGCAGCTTTGGGAGAGAGAGAGAGAGAGAGACGAGGATGGGAAGAGAGAAAAGAAAGGTCGAAAGAGAGGAAAATGTATACACATTGACTCAGCTTGTACAGCAACAGTCAAACGGGTCCACTAAACCACCATCCTCGTGGCACGCTAGGAATTCATCAGGGGACACGTACTAAGGAGGGGCATCCGGTAAACGAATGAAATCACTCAACTTTTCGCTGGGCCAACAAAATCATTTTGCTGTGCTTGCACACACGCACATACAAAATACCGCAAGTCTTTATTCACACACGGACACAAAAACACCAGACGCCATTATTCATCACTTCACGCACACCCAAGAATTGAAGCGTCAGCTACGTAAACATACCACCACTCGGAGGGATGAATATCGGGCGATGCTAGAGTGTCTCATTGAACTTGTCACGACTTATTCTCTCTCCCACTCACAGGAACATGCAGCGACGTTAATGTAGCGTGGGGAGAGCTGGGAGCGTGAATATCATTAGCAACACGGCTAGCACAGATAATATGGCCGCCTCTTACGTAAGTATCGGCCTAGAAGGATCAGTTCTGTACACACGAAGTAAAACTTTTGATTTCGATAAAATGGTTGTCTCACATACCTTGACAGGGTCTTGGGTTCTGAGTGGAGTCTGGTCTCTGTAAAGAGAGAAATCATTAGTCAGTTATATCGTAGCTCCTTCTCTCTCTCTCTTTCTCTTCTCCTTCTTCCGCTCTCTCTCTCTCTCGCTCTTTTCTCTCTTCTCCTTCTTCCGCTCTCTCTCTCTCTCTCTCTTTCTCTCTTCTCCTTCTTCCGCTCTCTCTTGATTATTTGAATGTAGTCAGTTATATTGTAGCTCTCCCTCTCTCTCTCTCTTTCTCTCTTCTCCTTCCGCTCTCTCTCTCTTTCTCTCTTCTCCTTCCGCTCTCTCTGTCTTGCTTATTTGAATGTAGTCAGATCTGTAGCTCTCCCTCTCCCCTCTCCTTCCCTTCCTCTTCAAAAATGAAGAGTACACTAACCCTTTTGGCAGACGACAAAGGTCCATTGCTAGCGTCTTGTACGAGGTGCACATGTAGCCCAAATACTTGGCATATCTCCGCACAAACACAGACATCTCTGTAGCTACAGTGAACAACAACAACAACACCTAAATTTTGTACAATCATGGGTAAAATTTTGTAGGAACATCAAAACTAAGTGGGCAGGACAAAAACCTGAAAATGGAGGGTTCAGAGGGTAAATGTTTTAGGAACAGCAAATTTCGTGAGTAAGGGCTGACGACATCAGAGAAACACTTTGCCACACATGTATTAAACACAGTCAGAGCTGTGTGTGATGAATGTGACTATATAAAGAGAAATAAGTACCGATGCCGTCTGTTCTGTCAGTGAAGGAATCTAGTTCGAATGAACTCGCCCTTGTTGCAATGCACTGTAGGAATTTCTGCAAGAAACGGTGGGAGAGGGAGAGAGAGAGGGAGGAGAGAGAGAGGGGGGAGAGAGAGAGAGGGGAGGAGGAGAGAGAGGGGGAGGGAGGAGAGAGAGAGGGAAGGAAGGAGAGAGAGAGAGAGGGAGAAGAAAGGAGGGGAAAGAGTCGGCATTATCAAGGCATCAAGCCACACTACCACAATGTTAGACAAGATAAAGCTGAGCACACACAGGCAGTACATGCATAAGGACTAAATATAGAAAACTAAAACTGGGCACACTCTAAAACTAAACAATAGGGCCCAGTGTGCAAGACTGTAGTAACCAAACTCTGTCAGTGCAGCACATCTACACTTGTTCTTGGACAGCTTATATAGTCAGATTTGGTTTTAATTTCAGCGACAACAACGATATATATAATACCCAGACCGGGGAGGGAAGTACAGAGGAAGATAGTTTAGCCTTGCTCACCAAGAAAAACAAACTTACGGCTGCCACCTGTCACCCAAGCAACCTAATACAGTGTGCTAAAAATTCATCCTCCTTTATTTATTTGCACGACAGTGGCAGCGTTGTGCGGTCACTGGAATGGTGTCGAGAAAGGTGATCCCGTTTCTCAAACAGGAAACTTCCGACAGAACTGCCATTATGGAGCATGTCGACACACCATACACAGACTAGGTCATGGGACATGTATTGCCTAGTGTCTGAACATAGTCGGAGAACTTGAGTAGGATATTGTGTCATCCGATATTTTGTAGTTGTCAAAATAGCGTATTACCCAACATTTTGGGATATATGCATTTTGGCGAGCGCAGCTAACGTTCAAATGAGAGAAACCATGGAAACTGCTAACTTGTGAAAGAATCTAAAATCATGATTTGCAAGAATATTTTGCAGAAACTTTTTTTTTTTTTATAAAGAGCGAGATCAGCTAACTTGGACACTGTATATACATACATACACTAATCCCTGACATTACATAATATCGTGCAACGTCATTCTAGAGAGAGGGGGGATAGGAAGAGGGGTAGTAGGGGGTCAAATTTTACCTCGTTCCCCAGGGTTATGAGGTTGTGGGCCAGGACGAGGTTCTTGAAGACGACAACCCAGCTGGTGTTTTTCAGCCGCTCAAAGATGTAGTCGGCCAGCGTTGCCATGGAGCAGTGCGGGTCATTGGTCAGGTTTATCAGATCTAGGGGGAGGAGGGAGAGGGAGAGAGAGGCAGGCAAAATGTGAGTTAGTATGCAGAAAAGAAAACAATAATGTTATGCCAACCCCCCAGACCGCCTGACTTTCACCAACAGAGCTTCCTGGGAGGCTATGATTAGATACTGCAGCAATAGATTCTCACTACACACCATATAAACCCCGACTTCCTCTTCCCATAGAGTCCAGCCAGACAGGAGTCATACAAACCAACGTTCTGACTACACGCTGAATACTGAACCACTCTAGGTATATGTACACAACTCAATACGACTGTACTACATTGGTGCTGCTTGGAGGCATGCCTCCATCGAAAAACGTTTGGGAATTTAAGATTTTTAGGCTACAGCAGACAGATAGTAAGTGGTAGGATGGGAGGGGGAGAGAGGGGAAGAGAAAGAGAAGGACAGACAGACAGAAAGAGATAAGCATTGGGGTAGGGTGGGAGGGGGACGAGGGGAAAAAAAGAGGACAGACAACGAGTGGCCACGCCAAAGACAGGCTGATTTGAGCTAGGAATGCAGATAATCGCGTACAATCAACATTCACTTGAGTTCTCGAACCCGATAAATTATCCGCCCTGTATCCAAACGTACAGCATCATAATGAACATAACATCACGCATCTGTGCATATCATACCAGAGACGTACTGTAACAGCGGAGACGGCTTAATTGGACCAAATTGAGTCAAGCATATGAGGAATTGGGCATTTCCCCTAATTTTGGTTGCATAAGTTGCTGGCATTTTCACTCATTTATTCCTTTTTCCGTTTTGTATATATCTATCCAACACTGTCACCATACTATACTGTTACGCAATACACAATTTAAAACGGCTGAAATTTCGCACTGAGTTCGCTTCCCAAAATGGCGTTGCATTCGTTCTAGTACCATTGCTTGCGTCCTTACGCAGTAGCAAAACAGACAGACTGGTACACGTTGTCCCAACAGGCCATTGTCTATACACTAGAGTACACAAACCCCTCCTTTAGAATCCCCCCCCAACGGTAGGACACACATAACACATGGACACATGCCACCTTCCCAAGGCCACATGGTGACCATCAATAGTTTACAGCTGAGGGGGCTAGCTGAGGGGGCTACCTGACACTTCAACCTACAACATGCAAACATTCAACACACTAAAGCTCTTAGAGCTGTTAGGAGGTGAGTCAAAAGATATAGGCTAGCTACCCACTAATATAGATTCTTACTGGGATATAAACTTCATTCAGTAGGACCGTAGTCCGTGGAGCGCGTTACCCCGTCCAGCCAACGTGCTTTCACACGGAACGCACGAGAGTGACTACGCACACAGCTACATGCTTGCAGGACCATCCCCACACCAGGCGGACTTACAGTCTACATGTTTCTTCTTGGGTCCCGCCAAGTCGTGGTTTGACGCCTTGCACACGATCTTCCTCGTGGTGGATCCGATCACCTCGTTCCTGAACGCGGTGGCTTTGTCGGCTACGTTTCCGGACATCGCGCGTCGAGTTGTCCGCTTCTCCCGCTCGCGTGTAATGCCTCTTGCCTCCTGCAGGTATGACGGGTGTCCGTAGCACTCAGAAAGACGTGGGATATTGAAAGGGTCAGCTCAGAAAGTACACACAGCTAGCTCCAGCAACGGCGAGACGACGATCGACGACGCCGAGATGATGACGTACCAACAACTGCGCAATAAAAGCATCACGTGATCCACACATTTCTCGCGCGCGCCACGTGTTCCACGGCGAATCTTCCAGAGAACCGAAAGCCGAGCGAAGTCGAAGAGCTACTACTATGGCCGAAGAGGAACCTCAAGCAATGGACGCAACTGTGGAAGAGCCGACTGAGCCGCTGCCCGAGTGGGGCGAGGACATATCCCCGGAGAAAGACGGCACGCTGTTCAAAACGGTCATCCACGAAGGTTCTCCCGACGACGGAAGCCCCATGAATAACGACGAAGTTTTCGTCCACTACACTGGAAAGCTACTCAACGGGACCGTGTTCGACTCGAGCGTGGAGAGAAGCGAGCCGTTCAATTCAAACTGGGCACCGGCGCCGTCATAAAGGGATGGGACGTCGGCGTCGCGACGATGCGGAGAGGAGAAAAAGTGCGTCCTCACATGTCGTCCTGACTATGCGTACGGCGAGAAGGGATCCCCGCCCAAGATCCCAGGGAACTCTACGCTTCAGTTTCGAGGTGGAGCTCCTGAGCTGGAAAGGGGACGACATCTCGAAGGACGGAGGAGTGATGAAGAGTATAGTCACTGAGGGGAAGGAGTACAACCGGCCTTCGGATGGGGCCAAGTGCAACGGTCAGTTCGTCCAAACCTCTTGAAGTTATACAGCAATTTCTGTCAAGATTGTCACCCTATATTATATATCACTCGGCGTTGTATATTATATCACTTGGCGTTGTATATTCCCTTTACTTTCTTTTTGTCTTCACCCCACCCTCTCCTTTGCTATTTCTCCCACTCTCTAGTCCACATTAGGGGAACGTACAAAGAGAAGGTGTTTGAAGAACGTGACGTGGCCTTTGACTATGGAGAAGGTCAGTAACACCACCAGAGTATAATTGTACATAACAACAGGGAGAACATTTTCACGAATTTATTAGCTCTCTTTTTTCACAAATTTGGCATGTCTCAACTACTTGGTAGAAAGGCAAGGCAAATAAGTCAACTACACTCAGGACAGCTGGCATGTCTGACTGCAAATCTCCACTCGCCTGGGTGCATTTAGATTTAGGAATAATTTTCAAAATCTGTGACGAAATTCTAATTTCTCTATGGTGGTCTTGTGCCCACTAGGTTCGGAGGAAGGTCTGCTGCGAGGTGTGGAGATGGCAATCGGTCAGATGAAGGCTGAAGAGTCGGCAAAGGTCACCATCAGCTCCAAATACGGGTTTGGAGAAGCAGGTAACCCAGAGCTGGGGATCCCCGGAGGAGCCACTCTGGTCTACTTCATACGACTCAACAGCTTCCAGAAGGTATATACATAATACAGTATGACTAAAGCTTTCCTGAAAAAACTTCTCTCATTCGATCGAAATTTGCGGAAGTTTTGTCGTCATAAAAGTTTTAGCTGGTTTGTTGGTGTGCCACACTTGCTTGCCGAACAATTTGTGACTTTTTTTCACAAAACTATAATCTGCCGGTGAGGCTTGATAACGTGTGTCATTCTCGTCGCAGCTCAAGGCAAACTGGGAGTACAACGACGTGGAGGAGAGAAAGACAGAGGCCGAGAGACTCAAAGAGAAGGGTACCAACTACTTCAAGGAGAGCAAGTGGGATCTGGCCCAGAAACTGTACGAGAGAGGGTCGGACCTCATCTCGGACTCCCAGCTGAGCAAAGACGAGGAGAAAGAGGTGGTCAGGACGCTGCGCATCGCCCTCCACCTGAACCAGGCGGCGTGTCATCTCAAGCTCAACGAACCCTCCCTGGCCCTCAAAGAGTGCGAAGAGGTGCGGTACAGCAGAGCGTGCGTGTGGTTTTATTCGCAGAACATAATCCCCGCCAAAAAAACAATTTGTGCAATTATTTTTTCGTGCTGAAGTTACGCCATATTTTAACTAAGTGATGTTAGGTTGTTTTGAGGAAAGTGTGAAATTTTAAATTGCATCCCTGATGCCTCACAGTATGTGTGTGTATGCAAGATGAATTTACAAAATTTCCACCCCCTCTAAAAAAACAAATCTTCCCCAATATTATGCTGCAGGTGACTCTACTTGACACAGTGAATGTGAAGGCGTATTTCCGTCGCGGCCAGGCCAGGCAGCTGCTCCAAGACTACGAGGAGGCAATCGGGGATTTCCAAGGGGTTCTCAGGTTGGAGCCACTGAACAAGGCGGCCCAGAAACAGCTGGCCGTGTCCAAGAAACGACTGAAGGAGGAGAGGGAGAAGGAGAGGAAGAGATGCGCCAACATGTTCAGCAGATTAGGTCGCGATGACAACGAAAATGACAAAGTGTGAGTCCCAAAACGATTCTTATTAATAAAGTGCTCAATCACTCGCACGTTTTTCGCTTTCAGTGGAGAGAAAATGGATACCTCGGCCGAGCCGGAGGTGGAAGATGGGGGGAAAACTGAAGAGCAGAATCAAGAAGAAGATACTCCCGTTCAAGCCACCAGTGAATGAAGAATCCCATTCACTATTATTATAGGAACACTCTACACCTGCCGATGAAATGTGGACTCTTTGTTGTTGTTTTCTTGGTCGTGCATCTTTTCTCGCTGCCACATTTTGAGTTTGCTTCCCCCCTGCACCAGGAGTGCAGGGGGGAATATTGCTGTGTAAAATAGCTGTGTGTTGTGCAGAATAAAAATTTGCAAACGATTTTCGTCCTCGGAACTGTATATAGCTCATGGTGGCACGCAGAGTTTACGTTTTCTAATTATGCGAATGTCCGTGTGCGGATCTGTTCTAATTATGCGAACGCGTTTGTTTTGAAGAAAACAATATCGAAATACTGCGAGCACACGCACGTACGCACAGAGGGAGAGTGTAGCCAACCCTCGCATCGTCATGTCCTCCTTGCTGAAGGGTCCGGGGAGCACCAAGTTCGCAGACAGATGGCCGGACATGCAACCAGTGGTCTTGAAACTCCTCAAACAGGAGCACGTGACGCGGGACGAGTGGCAGAACCTGTTTTGGTGAGTTTCAAAATAAACTGCCTCACCCCCATTGTCTTTGTGTGTGCCCGTGTAGTGAATTGATAGGTATTTCTGTACGTAGGGACGTCCACTCGGTGTGCAGCTGGGACGAGAAGGCTGCAGTTAGGATCCAGGAGGCTTTGAGGAACGAAATTCTGCGATTCATCTCCGAAGCTCAAGGGGTAAGTCGGCTAATCACGTGTGTGGGTGGAGGGCTAAAAGAAATTATGCTCCTGCAGCATGAATGGAGTTTTCACAAAGGTACTTTTTTCACAACCATCAGCATTTGACAGCATCCGTGAAAATATAATAAAAATTTTTTTGTGGGAAGTGATAATAAATTTGACGAGAAATCAGTGACATTTCATGTTTTAAAAACTCCCACGCGTAACTACAAAACAAAAGTTACCATTTATGATTCTACCTGTTTCATTTAGCGGGTTATGAAGCATCGTGAGGAGAGTGCGTTGCTCAAGGCGTACATCTCAGAGTGGACCAAGTACTTCACACAGTGCGACTACCTCCCCAAGCCGTTCCAAGCGATGGAGATCGAGGGGGGCAACCAGAAACCAAAGAGAAAGAACCAGGATGGGAACCGCGTGCAACTGGTACACGTGTAGTGATACTGTGGAGAGATGGGCGCACACGCAAAACTCACATGCTCGGATTGTTCAACCTTACCTGCTTAGGGAAAGCGTGTACTACAGGGTTGAGTTTTTGCTTTGCACCTGCCTTGCTCGACTGCGGAATTGATTTCCCCATGTACCCAAGGAAACCCTCTTTTTCACTTCGTCTAATATCTCTCTTCTCTCATTTTTCTCTCTCCCTCTTCTCTCTCTCTCTCTCTCTCTCCGTCTTTTTCTTCCTCTACTGTTTCACCGTCCTCTTCCCTCATCATTTCTTCCCTCTCCCCTCCTTGCCTTGCCCTCACTCCCTCTCATAAGCTGATGTTAAAGAGTTGGAACGGCAGTATATTTGTCGCGGTACGCGAGAAGCTGCTCTCGGCCTCCATGAAGCTACTCTATGCCGAGAGAAACGGCGAGGCTTTCGATTCTCAACTGGTGATTGGAGTTCGACAATCATTTGGTGAGTCCTAGATCACCTCGCCCCTTTGCAGCAAAATATAGTGGACCTCTGAACTACGGGACCAACGATTTTGTCCTTTGTAGAGAAGTTTTGTGAGGTCAAATGTTACACTAAGTATCAGCATGGGGTTGTCCTTATCTTGGAGGGTCCATTATCAGAGGTTGCACTGCGTAACTCTCTCCGTCTCTTTCAGTCAACCTGAGCACGGAAGTGAGCAACAAACTCAGAATATATCAGGAGAATTTCGAGAGCTCGTACGTCGAAGCTGCACGTGACTACTACGCCAGTCACGCCCCGGCATACCTCACCGAGAACGGCGTACAGAACTACATGAAATATGTGAGTACCAACATGTGCACACAGCAAAAACTCTTCAGAATGCAAAATTTTCCCATAGACCATACGACCGAAATTCATCTTTTCCCCAATCCATGAAAATGACACTACACAGTGCTCCCATATAATATACGTGTATAATTTATTTCAAGATTTCTGACATTATAGGTTTTTGTGTGTGTGTGTGAATGTGTATTTTAGGCCGACCAGAAACTATGGGAGGAGGACAGGAGAGCCACAAAGTATTTGGAGACACGGAAAGGCTGCAACTCTAAACAGTTGGTACGACGTTGTGCTGCATCTGTTACGTAACAAACAGAGTTCGTTATGTGATGTCACTTCCTGTCCGTGTACGTGTTTCGTAATAGTTGATGGAGACGGTGGTACAGGTGCTGGTGAAGGACCACGCCACGACGATTGTTGCCGAGTGTCCACGACTCATCGCCAACAACGACGTCGAGAGTAAGTCGCGGTCAAATTCCATAATCAGGACACCCTTTACCCATTTTGCCTAGTGTATATATAGTAAACAAAACGCCTAGTGTAGTAAATGAAACCAGGAAACGAAGTATCCGTTACAGTGATTCTGTATTCTCCTTCCTCCAGAACTGAACCTGATGTTTTCCCTCATGGACCGTATCCCAGGAGGAGTGGACCCCATGTTGAGGGACCTGGAGACCTACATCGTCCAGAGTGGACTGGACGACATGAAGGCCAACGCCGACATCATCACCACCGTGAGCTGTGGGCCTGTACTGGGGAATTTCGTTTGTCGTTCGACTTGACCCCTCTAAATCTCTCCCCAGGACTCTGAGAAGTACGTGGAGGAGCTGCTGGCACTGTTCAACAGATTCACAGAGATGGTCGTGAAGGCGTTCGGGAGTGACCACCGCTTCATGACCTCTAGAGATAAGGCCTACAAACAGGTTGTCAACGATACCTCCGTCTTTCGACTGGACCTGCCCAGCAATAAAGCAAGGTGCTGTTTAAAGAGAAAAATAATCATTTTGATTGCACCAATAATCTTTCAAGGTAATTTTTACCCGTGAGTAAAAAATAATGCTATGCACTAAAATATTTAGCATAGTGGGTGTGGTTAATGCTCCATGAAAATTGTCTCTGTAAGACTACGAAAATTGAATCCGCACACCAGTAGGTGCTCTGTATTATCTACTTTAGGGGTTTAACAATACGACTGTGGTTTTTCTGGGCTTTTTAGCTGTGCAGTACACGTGGTTTGAATTCCACACCACACACACACACACCACACACACACTACACACACACACTCTGACCCAATGCAATGATGAAGACCCATCCTGAGTCAAAGTGTCCGGAGCTGCTGGCCAACTACTGCGACATGCTCCTTCGAAAGACTCCGCTCAGCAAGAAACTCACCTCCGAGGAAACCGAGGCTAAACTGAGAGACGTGGTGAGAGACTCTCTCTCTCCTCTTTTTTTCTCTCTCTCTCCTCTTTCCCCGTCGCCTTGTTCAACTTTGCTTCGTTGTACCTTTGCTTTTGGCAGTTCCCAACTGTGCAAATTGAAGGCAATGTGTCTGTTTTAAAGGTAGAAATGTTACTAAAGATGGAACTAAACCATTAGTGGCCAGTGAAAGAATTTATGTAATAGTTTTGAAATTTAGCCCTTACGTGACATTTTCAGGCTGTGAAATTTACAAAGGCTTTCTTGTTTTTCGACTATTGGGTATGTACATGGATGGTCCTCTCTTCCTCTCTCTCCTCTCCTCCTTTCTTCCTCCCTCTCTCCTTCCCGCCCTAGCTGGTGGTGCTAAAGTATGTTCAGAACAAGGACGTGTTCATGAGGTACCACAAGACACACCTCACCAGACGACTCATTCTAGAAACTTCCGCAGACAGCGAGAAGGAAGAAAACATGGTCGAGTGGCTGAGGGTGAGCTTCCCCTCGTTCCGTAGGCTAAACTACATGTACCACCAATTAGCACAGTCTCCTTTTTCAGACCCTAAATATATTTTACCTTTGAGTATTATTGTCATGAGTGAATTATATGTGAGGTTATGACAAGCAAAGCATATGCAAAGCTCATGCACGTGAGAACAATTTAGTTCTTCTTTAGTGTTGCCAACCTATACTGTTAGGTCGATATATTATACGTGTCAGTTTACTTATACTTTTCTCCCTTCTTCTCCTTCCCTCTTTCCTTCCTCCTACTGTACTTCTCTCTCTCTCTCTCTCTCCAAGGACGTTGGAATGCCTGCCGAGTACGTCAACAAGCTGGCCAGAATGTTTCAAGATATCAAAGTCAGTCAAGACCTCAACACTGAGTTCAAAGAGAGACAGCGCGGCTCCTCCATGGCAGGTGAGTCCTTACACCATGTGAGAGTCATGTGATACGCACATGACCTTTTACCATTATTATTAGTGTGTAAGACTGCGGAATACAGAACTTGTTCAAAACTGTGTGTGATGTTAAACCCCTAATGTTTGTTGGTCATGTGATGCTCACATGACAGTCACCTGCCTCCTAACCTCAGTATTGTACGGTTGTCATGTGATGCTCACCTGACCACCACAGAGATGGTGAACATGAAGGTACTGAATGCGGGGGCATGGTCGCGGAGCTCCGAGAGGGTCCCGGTATCCCTCCCGATGGAGCTGGAGGACTTCATCCCTGGAGTGGAGGAATTCTACCGCAAGAAGCACAATGGACGGAAACTGCATTGGCACCACATCATGTCCAATGGAGTGGTCAGTACGACACTTACCATTTTCTCACTTGTTTGTTGCACTGTTTTATGATTTCTGTTCTACTGGTTCTTTCTATGGTGCTTTTCTTGCTATCTTTTGTTTTGTGGTGGCTCCGTTTTTATTAGAGTTATGCTTCTCTCACGGCAGCAGTTTTTTCGTGGCTAGCGACATTCATTGTTACAGAAAGCTTATATTCCCTCCCCCCCCTCTCCCTCCCTCCAGATAGTGTTCCAGAACCAGACAGGGAGGTATGATTTGGAGGTCACCACGTACCAGATGGCTGTTCTGTTCACGTGGAACCAGAGACCAGAGGACAGCATCAGCTTCGAGAGTCTTAGGTGAGAGAGGGGTTAAAATTGAGAGCCTTGGGTGAGGGATGGGTTAAATTGAGTCTTAGGTGAGGGAAGGGTTAAAATTGAGAGCCTTGGTGAGGGAGGGGTTAAATTGAGTCTTAGGTGAGGGAAGGGTTAAATTGAGAGTCTTTGGTGAGGGAGGGGTTAAATTGAGAGTCATAGGCGAGGGAGAGAATCTTAGAGGGTTACATTGAGTCTTAGGCAAGGGGTATATACTAGAGGGTTAAATTGGTGGAGAGGAAAATCGCTGTTTTTCGTGGTGTATGCATGTAGGCTGGCGACACAGCTGCCAGATCCAGAGCTCAGAAGAACTCTATGGGTACGTGAACCCACAATGATGTCATAAACAATGACATCATCAACAGTGACATCATCCATAATTTCGTCCTCTGTCCCTCAGTCGTTGATTGCATTCCCCAAGATCAAGCGGCAGGTACTACTGTGTCAGCCACCAGTCACCAACCCAAAGGAGTTCATCGAAGGCTCTCTCTTCAGCATCAACCAAGAATTTGGCCTCGTGTAAGACCACATATTATTTACGTGGGTGGGCTACAAATTTTGTTTAAATCAAAAAAATTAAGTAGATGATGTCATTGTTGATGATGTCATTCCAGGAAGGGTGGGAAGCTGCAAAAGCGAGGGAAGATCAATCTGATTGGTCGACTGCAGCTGACGACAGAGAAAACCAAGGAGGAAGACAACGAAGGAATCATAGCTCTTAGAGTTCTTAGAACGCAGGTGAGGGGAAGGAGGGGAAGGGGGAGTGAAGGAGGGAGAGAGGGGGTGATCACCTGTATGCAACTCTTAGGGTTCTAGAATTACTTGTTGTGTTGGTTCTTCTCAGGAGGCGATAGTCAAAATCCTGAAGATGCGAAAACGGATGACGAATGCTGCACTGCAGACAGAACTGGTCGAAATCCTGAAAAACATGTTTATTCCGCCCAAGAAGATGATAAAGGAGCAGATAGAGTGGCTTATAGAACACAAGTACATGAAACGAGACGGCAGCGACAGAAACAAGTTTATATATCTCGCATGATGACGTCCGAATGGTAGGTATGAAATTAATTATTTGTCTGCTTTTATGTATCAATTAATAATGTCAACATCAGAACCATGAATTTGACATGTGATTTGTGATTAGAGAAAAAACTACGTCTAAAAATGTTTTTTCCATTCATTCTACAATATTATCACTAGTGCTTATGTAGTGATTGTCAAAATGTGCAGCAAGCTCACAACTTCAAAAACTGGTTCAATTCTTCTGCTTCAACTGCCTCTTCAAAAGCATCGAAGCCCTGCAGAAAAGATAGTGGACGATCTGAAAAATGTCTCTGGTGCTATATAATAGAGTGGGAAGTAAAGGACACTATTAGCAAAGCACCAGCCACCACTTCAGAACAAGTGTCCTTTATAGTGAGGTGCTCTTTATTTAGAGTGTCCTTTATATTTAGGTGCTCTTTATTTGGAGTGTCCCTTTATAGTGAGGTACTCTTTATTTGGAGTGTCCGTTATATTTAGGTGCTCTTTATTTGGAGTGTCCTTTATATTTAGGTGCTCTTTATTTGGAGTGTCCTTTATAGTGAGGTGCTCTTTATTTGGAGTGTCCTTGAAAAGGTCCAAGCATGTCCTTTATAGTTTCACTGTATGTACCTCTAAATAAAGAACACCTGTGAATGTAGTAAAACAAATTTCCTTTATCCACATGCAGCATGTGTCGTCTAGCATCTGTTGTACACGTGACTACAAATCAACCGCATCACTAGAAATTCTCCCTATTTTATCTGCTTCGCCTCAAAACCTCAAACAATACACACAGACACTGCTTACGCCACAGTATTGGTCTCCATTGCACAACTGTGGAGGAAGGGCAGTTGGGTTGCCTGCAATCTCCCTCATCTTCTTCTTGGCGTCTTCGCTAGCTGCCACGTCGACTTTCTCGAACTCGATCTTTTTTGAAGTCAGAGTCATATCAATCTTCTGTTGTTGTTTCTTTATCTGTGGGGGCGGAAGGGAGGGAGACAGGTTGTGAGGGAGGGAGAGAGGTTGAGGGAGGGAGGGAGAGAGGTTTTGGGGAGGGAGAGAGGTTGTGAGGGAGGGAGGGAGGTTGTGATGGAGGGAGAGGAAGTAGTGAAAAAGAGAAGGAGGGTGATGTTGTAGAAGAGTAAAAGCAGGAAGAATAGAGAAAGGTGACACAAGACTTGTATGTATTGACCACAATAGATAGATAGATAGATACCACAAGATCATAATGGTCAACCTCTGTTACGCTCTGACCTCACAAAATAGAATTTAAAACCTGTGTGTACCGGCACCATACACACAATGGTGCCGGTACACGGGCTGTATGCTACGTTGCAAGGGTGCGATTCATTCATTACGCAATCTCTGGTTCTCGCTAATATTGAGAGACATTTGACACCATGGAACACGGCGTTAGTCCTAACCAGACGCCAACAGAAGTTGGCAGTGGTCACAATCTGGTTGCTAGGGTCTTGAAACATGCACTTACACATGTACCCAAAAAAGGAGACTATACTACAATATGACTTAGCAAGGGCCATAGCCCCATCTACACACCAGTATTTATCTTATAGAATCAGACTTACACTAGCGTCACCACCTCAAATCCAGCGCCAGAAGAAACTAGTAGCCAGCCACTTAGATTTACAATTGACGTCGAGTACTCACAAAGTTTATGTAGGCACGAGCGAGTGGTGAAAGTATGAATCTCCTTACCTCCAGGTTCCCAGTGACGCTCGTGTAGTAAAAGGTAACAGGCATCTTGATTTTTTCCCTCTAGCTGTGTGCTGCAGTTCAACTCAGTAGCTCTCGATCTCTGCGGCGGCGGTCGAATGTATACGCGCAAAATCGAAATCCGGGAGGGTGGGTGTGGCTTTATCGTGCGCGCGTGCGCAGAAGCGAGCTTGAGTACAGAAGAGAAAAGGACTCGACATGCTTGCAGGTTCTCTGGCCAGACGATCGTGGAGCGCGACTCCGCGGCTGATTGCAGACTGCCGCACGCCGCAGGGTCGCAGGCACTTCTCCCCACTGGCCTGGTACAACAGACAAATCCAGAGAGCCCCCGTCATTACCAAAGCCATCACTTCGGGAGGCAAGCTCCCAGTCTTATTGCATGCATGCAGCAAGCCTTAGCACTTTAATTCCTCTGTTATTTTTATCACTCTTATTCTAGTATTTTATTTCACTCTAGTTTTTTCCTCCACATCTCAGCGTGTTAGAAAATCTCTCATTTTCCAGTTTTGTTTGCCACGGGGGACGTCCTGGCACAGACTGTTACCATGGAGAAAGGCGGGAAGTACAACGGGCCTCGGGTCATCAGAGCTGCCATATTTGGCACCGTCATTCTCGGCCCCTTAGGACACCTCCACTTCAACTTTATCGAGTGGTTCGTCGTCAAGAGGGTAAGGGGAAAAAAACACGAAATGTTTTGAATCCCACGTCTTTTTTTGTTAGCTTGCTTTCACAGGCACAAAAATGGCGCTGTTGAAAGTGTTTATCGATCAGTTCACGTACTGGGCCTCTGGGATAAATGCTATCTATCTCATCAGGTATTGAGTGTAATTGAACATTGATTGATGTAATAGGAGCGCCAAGTTTTTGTGGTGCCTAACTTCAGGGATCAGTCAATTTTGAGTCCATTTGCTAGACTTATATGTATGATGTACAAACACCACTGATATTGTGTCAGTCTTTTGTGAAAGCTGATTCCTTCTCTCTATATTTAGTCTTCCACTGATGGCTGGAGAGTCTTTTGAGACAGCGTGGGGCAATGTGAGAAACAAGATCTGGCCAGTCCTGAAAGCCAACTGGTGCATTTGGCCACTAGTCCAGGTATTTCCCTTGTCAATTATATAGTCACTTTCCTACTTTCTTGTTCTCTTGCAGATAGTCAACTTCAAGTTTGTTCCAGTTGTTCACCAGCTCAACTTTGTGTTGCTGGTGAGTCTGGGCTGGGCCACCTACCTCTCGTGGTCCACATCTGACAAACCTGCTACTACTGATGATGATGATGCCTCTACGAACAACAGCATTAACTAAAACCCAGACTCATAATACCAATAAATAAGTTTCCCGGGATCTTTGAAAAGTCACCAAAATCAATCCTACGAACACCAATTTCATTACAAGTTACTTAGGTCATAATTAGAGATTTCCATTTTTGATCATGAATCTATGAAGTTACTGGCAGACAAAAGAATCTCGTGCTATGCAATCATTATTGTGTCTCATCGTCACATGTTCTAATGTCACGGATACAAAATGTATACTGCGTGTTGGCTATGAACGTGTCTCAATTTTCATGACAATCTTCCCAGTTCCGTAACTCCCTAGTTTTACTAGCTCCTGACACACTTCCCCGAGACCAACTGACTTGTAGATATACGGTCTACAGAAGAAAACCAAAAAATACTCTTGTTTGTAACAATGTCACAAAACGTTCTGCTACCAACTTTACTGGTATTTGCTCAGTACTATTGTTGTGCAAAAGGCTTGGAATGCACTAGATTATGCTAGGTTTCCTGCTATTTTGTGCGTACTTTTCATTCACTAGTCTTTTCAATTGACAAGGTACATTGTCCACACAATTGCAGAACCCTGCTCTATACTTACTTGATCACTCCGTCCTCCATGTGCTTGAGAACCTGCTCCAACACACCCAGATAGCTACCCAGCTGAGCTCCCGACAGCGTCCACACCGCCGGGAACATGAAATGGAGACTGGCCCCCTTCAAGTACAGAGTCTGGGACAGCGGTGGGTCCAGTTGTAGATCAGGCTGCGACGATACCCAGTGACCCCTTGCCGCTAGAAGAGACCCGATCTGGTGAGATGTGGGAGAGAGGGGAGGGGAGGGGTCTGTCTCGTAGGTGTAGCGCAGGGGCTCTTGCTCCAGCTGCTGTTTGAGGGTCGCAGAGTCGATGAGAAAGTCCGAAAGATAGAAACTTGCCGAGGCTGGAGAGGGGATGCAGACACATGAAGATATTAGACCACATGCATAGTATGGTAGTTTCTTATATACGTAAGTGCATAAAATTTTTTTCAGCATACAGCGAAACAAAAGATACCCCTCTCTTTGAAAGTGTGTGTGTGTAAGCATTGTTTCTGTCAAGCCCGCCATCCTCATACTGTGCCAGCGCACTTATGCTGTTTGCGATCCATACTATGATATGTGTACCTCCGTTGTCGATGACGCAGTGAACCCCCAGTCCCCCAGTCTCCTGGAGACATATGTCAACAATACTCTGAGACCCACTCAAGTCTATCACTCTCACTGCAGAGATCAATCAACACAAACAAGAGAGAGAGAGAGAGGAGGAGGGCCTGTCAGGAATTTGAGATAGAATGCTCACAGGGAAAAATGGTCTTCCCGCCACAATTTCACAGAATTGTCTCGCTCAAAAACTTTCTGCAGTAATGTAACTCACAGAGGGATGGCTGGAGTTTCTGCAATATTTCGGCCTCTTTTGGGCTGTTGACTGCAGCTATCACCTGGATACACATAAAACTAACACTGACACTTATGATGAAGTTCCAACCTTAGCTCCGAGATACTCGCACCACTGAATCATCACAACGCCATCGGCCTGTACGTGAAAAAAAACCAATCTTTCACGGAAGCTGATATTTCATCGCTAACTCACAGAGGCAGCTCCTGTGATGAGTACAATGTTGCCGGGGACGACGGGAACCTGGGTGTGGAATGCGGTGTATGCTCTAAGCCCAGAGCCCAGTCCAGCAGCACAGTCAGCATGGGATAGGGACACCGGTTTTGACACTGAAAGACAAAAACAGAAAAACCATGATTCTGGGAGATATAATATTATGACAACTTTGTTCGCTCTGCATTTAATGGTCTATGGTTCTAAGTCCTACAGGTGCCTATTATAGTGAGTGAATATAAGTATATATTTCTGTTAGTTTTTATTGAGTGAGTGGTGGTTGGACCCACCGAGGAAATGCTCGGGGAGTACACAGTATTCAGCACATCCAGGACACTCAGAGTCCAGTGGAAGGATCCCTGCAAACAACAGCCACAGTTCTGACACATTCACCGCCGCAGTACCTAGTGGAACCCCGCTACAAGGACATCCTGAAATAAGGAGACTTCTCTACCTTTTATTTACTTTGTAAGCAAGGTAAAAGGAACTTCCTTCCGTACAATTGTGTCCATATCCACTGCACACATCATTTACCCTCGTCGCGCATGCGCAGCGAGGGTACTGTAGTTGGGTCTGTCTCACCTCTCGGATGTCTGTTCGTCCCAGAAATGATACCATCTACCCAACGGGCGACGAAAGTCAGAAAATATGTGGGGTTTTCTCTGAAAATGCTCCGTTGCCGAGCTAGAGCGCTTCCAGCATTGTACATACGGCTAATGTGCATGCGCTTATATTTAGCACAAGTCCGAGTCCGCTTGCTCTGTCTATCTTGAAGGCACAAGAAGTCACAACGAATGGCGTGTATCGACTCTCGCGTGCTATCTACTACTGTAGCTAGCCCGTGTCAGACTCTCTGCGAGCTACTTCGCCGAGTGTTACAATCCACGGGTAATACGAAAATTAATAGCTAGATGTAAGGTTGGCAATTTTTCAACCTTATATATATTTTTGGCCCCAAGCAGTAATAGGGCTGGCCATTTTTTTTTGAAAATAATCCATGGCATAACATGCTGTTCTTTTTGATGTATGGTCAAGACCATCAATTGTGGTGGTGCCGCACTTGTGTATGGGTTCCACATTTCTATAGAGTGTGCCGAGGGTTTGCACCTTAGTGCTTTTCATATATACCTGTAACTTCATCACCAACTGAGAACATTTTCACAGCATCGCCAACTAAATATATAAGTTAGTGGTGATTTCAATAAACACCATCTGTTACATAATCCACCGACCTTTTGTGATGACTCCAGAAATTTCGTTACCGACTGGGATCTGGTCCACATTCGGTACCACCTGCAAAACAGTCTGGGAACGGAAAGTTCGGTTCGTGTCAAATTCTCCGTAAAGTGATTTAAGATCAAACCTTTGTGTCTATGCGGCTGAGGCCGCATGCCTTGATCTGCACTGTGACATCGTTTGCCTCCAGTGCTGGTAGCATTACCTGCAGAATTATATATGATCACGTGATGCAACTGGAAACCTAAACCTCTACGGCCTTAGCATGCAGCGTACAGAAATACAGTGGTTAACGCATATACTTACATGTTCCTCTATTCTAGCTTCAAGCTTTCGCTTGCCGCCTTCAGAAGAAGCCGGGACGTAGCTGAGGTACACGCCCCTCATTCTGCTCGCCGCTGTATTATAAAATTTCATCCTCGGCGTATAAATAGAGAGGAGGTCGGGCGTGCCGTAAATTTCCCGAAATCTGATTGGCCGAGTTCACGGAAAAACACGTGGTTTACGCGCAAAATTTCGACGGTCGTAAACTTTTGGGGGGGTTGTTTCAGGCTCTCTTTCTTCGTTTTTTGGTTGGAGGTGCAGGGATGTCGGCAGCGGCTACAGTGGGGCAGGCTCCAGGAGCGGCTCAGCAGGACAGTACGTAGTAATCCAGCCATTACAGTGTATCCGCTAACACTAACCACTACCTACGTTTCTTCTGCCCCACCCAGTGTATGACGAGGGCGTGGAGGAGCGGATAGTGAACGAAGAGTACAAGATATGGAAGAAGAACACGCCGTTTCTCTACGACCTCGTCATGACACATGCCCTGGAGTGGCCGAGTCTGACAGCCCAGTGGCTCCCTGAAGTCACCAGACCCGAGGGGAAGGACTACTCCGTTCATCGCCTCCTCCTTGGGACACACACGTATGTGTATACGTCCCTCCCCTGCTCAGTATTCTCTAGGTATTCTGACTTTAAAGTCAGTATACTTTGGGTATCCTAACTATGAACTCAGTATTCTTTAGGTACATTTCAAAGCACAGTATGCCTGTAGGTGTGGCCTTTTTTAGAGTATTCTAAATTGGGTGTCATCTTGTATTCTCTGGGTATCCACACTTGAGACATTCAGTATTCTCTAGGTGACTTTGTGGGGGTATCCTGTATCTGTAGATCAGACGAGCAGAACCATTTGGTGATTGCTAGTGTCAAGTTACCAAACGACGACGCTCAAGTGGATGCCACTCGCTACGACAGCGACCGTGCGGGTATATGTATATATACACTCTTATACACTGACTGATTGGGTAGGTAGATACATCGGAACACCTCTGATTCAGACACCCAATGAGACTGAAGAAGGTGTCCATATTAGTGAGGTGTCCTTATCTCAGGGGTTAAATTGCCTGCAAGAACTGGGGAACTGGGGACAAGGTGCCCGTATTAAAGAGGTGACTTCACTTCAGTGGTGTCCTTAGAGGGGAGGGGGTTCCACTGTATACAGATTACTTGGGTGGTAATTCACTGCTCTCTTTCTCCCTCTCCCACTCTCTGTCTTTGGCTCAATAGAATACGGTGGGTTTGGATCCGTGAGTGGAAAAATTGAAATCGACATCAAGATAAACCACGACGGAGAGGTGAACCGTGCCCGCTACATGCCACAGAATCCATTCATCATCGGAACAAAGACTCCCTCGGCCGACGTCCTCGTCTTTGACTACTCCAAACACCCGTCAAGACCTGGTGAGCATGTTTTACTCCATATATCATTTCACTTGTGCGGCATGAGAATGTATGCTGATACATGACACAGAGCAGAGTTGTTTACACATAGGACTAGGTTTTTTGTGTTTTTCACTTGTGTGATTCGTTCCCAGACAATGTAGGGGAGGTGAAGCCAGAGCTGCGACTGAAGGGACACACAAAGGAGGGGTTAGGCTAGATAAACCGGTTATCAACCTGTTTTTCAGAACCGGTTTCTCAAACAGGTACGGCCTGTCGTGGAGCACCTCTCTCAAAGGTCACCTTCTGAGTGCTTCTGACGATCACGTGTGTTGGCCAAAGTTTTTCCAGTATTTTTTTATCTCTTCGCTTTTTTACAGACTGTCTGTCTTTGGGACATCACAACTGCCTCTAAGGTATATACATAGTATAGTGATTATCTCACATCTCTCCCCTATTGAGTATCATTGTTTAAGACCTCTCTCTTACGACACCCCTGATATTATGACACCTCTCTAATATGGACACCTTCTTCTGGTGTCTGGATTAGAGAGGTTCAGCTGTATCAAATTTTGTCATCTAGGAGCAGAACACGCTGGATGCAAAGTCCGTCTACACCGGGCATACTGCTGTTGTTGAGGTAGGTTAGCCGTTTAACCCTTTTGTTTCCGACATTTAACCCTTTAATGACAGGACGTGGCATGGCACCTCTTGCACGACAGTCTTTTTGGGTCAGTCAGTGACGACCAGAAACTAATGATGTAAGGCTCTTGAAAAAATCGCGATACGACCAATATTTTTCGCGTGTGTATGTTAATTTGTATGCAGTTGGGATATTCGTGCCACGGGCACAAAGAAGGCCTCACATGTCGTGGATGCCCACCAAGCAGAGGTAAAATAATATAGTTGCGTAGGAACAAAATCGTGTTACTTCAATCAAATGCGTGGGTATGTATGATCAGAAGCAACTCTACTCTCTCCATTGTCCAGGTGAACTGCCTGGCTTTCAATCCGTACAGTGAGTATATCTTAGCCACCGGATCCGCTGACAAGGTAATATAACAATAAGAAAAGGGGAAAAGCAGTGTATTTCAAAGTTTAGGGGGTTTATATGATTGTATGTCAGTGGTTGAGACGGGAAGGGACAAAATGTTGTGGCGTGTTTTTTCCCTATTACAGACTGTAGCACTGTGGGACCTGCGAAGTCTTAAGATGAAACTCCACTCTTTTGAATCACACAAAGACGAGATTTTCCAGGTACTCTCTCTCTCTATTTCTCTCTCCCCCTCTCTCTCTCTCTCTCTCTCTCTCTCTCTCTCTCTCGCTGAGATGAGATTTTCCAGGTAGACACCGACTGTCCACACTAGACCTTTCCCTCAATAATTTCCTACGCTATGGATGCATTCATTCTCTCTTCTCTCCCTCCCTCCCTCCCTCCCTCTCTCCCTCTCTCTCTCTCTCTCTCTCATCGCACTGTTATTCTACAGGTCCAGTGGTCGCCCCACAACGAGACTATTCTAGCTTCCAGCGGCACCGATCGTCGTCTCCACATCTGGGACCTCAGCAAGATTGGAGACGAACAGTCACCCGAGGACGCCGAAGACGGACCTCCCGAGCTGCTGGTGAGTCACATGATCTCCGCCGTGAGTCACATGACTATCACATGTCGGTCCATAGTTCATCCACGGAGGTCACACGGCAAAGATATCGGACTTCACTTGGAACCCAAACGAGGCGTGGGTGGTGTGCAGTGTTTCGGAAGACAATATTTTGCAAGTTTGGCAAATGGTGGGTTTGAGGCTTTGCTTTTCTCTCTTGAACTTTACGCCCTTTCTCTCTCTCTCACACGACCCCTTTTCCTACTCTTGTACTCTTCTCTTTTCTTCCCCTTTCCATCTTCTGACCATTCTTCATTTCTCCCTTTCTCTCTCACTCCCACCTGTCTCTTCTTCTTTCCCGCCCCTCTCACCATCTCTCTCCTCATTCCCCCCTTCCTCTTCCCTACTGTCCCCCTCAAAAAGGCTGAGAACATATACAATGAAGAGGATCCGGACACACCAGCTGATCAGTTAGAGGCACCTCCTCCTGCAGCTGCTACAGCGACATAATACCCCGCCTTTTTCCATGGAAACCGACCCACACCCACAATTCCACACAACTCGTGCTGATTACAAACTCGCATTAACCCTTCCATTCGAAACACTATTATTCACTCTTGCAAAACACTCATTTGTTGCCTAAAAATGCATAGGTTGAATATTATTTTAATTATATGCTTGTACACAATGGAGTGACTCGTGCCCCAACAAAAACAACAACAACAGTTTCAATACAAACAATCTGACAAAACACTGAAAATGATTCTGCCGATACAGTGCCAAACACTGAAACTGTTCATACGACTGTTTCAACCTCCAGCATTTTCTCGAGGTCTTTCACGCGGGTTTCGAGACGGTAGAGTTTCTCCGTTGCCTGAGACCGGTAGCGGTTCTCGATCTCGGCCATCTGAGCCTCGTACTGCCTCTCGACGGCTGCTATCTTGGCCTCCGAGACCTGCAAGGTCACAGGAGCATTAGCTTTTAAAGATCAGAAAATACAACAGGAGCGTTAGCATAATTGCTAATAGGGCCCAATTTATTTTTCTTGTCGGGGTGGCATACACCGATTGTATGGTGGTTTAAATTATGTACAACCATCTGTCGTCCATTTTTTGGTGGTTTTTTGGTTTTTTACATACAAGTTCTATACACCCATTTGGACAAGGTTTTCTCATATCCACGGGTGTTAGTATTGAAAGTGGGTGTTGTTGTGGGTTACCTGCTGAAAGTATCTGAGGATTCTGCCTCTGTGTTCGCTGACTCTCTCGTTGACGAGAGCCTTCGCCCGTGGCGGCAGCGTTCCTCTATCCACCTCCCCGGCTTCCTGCATCAGAGGGAGCTGAGGCCCGGCCCGAGCCCCGTTCCCCTGCTCCACGTTCCACATTCTGGCTCCCCCTTTTAACCCCTCCATCACTCTCGATGGCGTGTGATTCACAGCGAGTGATTGCGACCGCTGAAGATTCTTCTGGAACTGACTCCCACTGAATGGCATTTCTTGGGGTGTTATCGTTCCATCGGTGTGGTCATGTGACTCAATTCTCTCAGCTAATTGGTCGAACCCTTCATTGTCGCTCTCTGCATTGCAATCAGAATCGAACCCCTGCGAGGACCCGGAGCGTTGCACTGCGACGTGTCCCGATTCCAGGTCTTCGTAGTCGGAATCGGACACACAGCTGTGCCAGCTGCTTCGCCGGTGAATGGAGTTCCCCATTCTGGCCGGACGGAGCTGGACATCTGTGGGAACGGCTGTCGTGGAGTTTCGTTGCTGATGTTGCGTCATCCACAGCTGCCGCTGGTATCGCTTCTCGAGCTGCGTCAGCCGTATGTGGAACGCTCTTCGCATGGTCTCCAACTCTTCTTGGAGATAGCGGTCTATCTCGGATTGGTGGAGAGGCGCCGGCTGCAGCGTTGGAACAGAGAAAGAGATGAATGCAGTGGCAACCTGCCAAATGGAGGCAGACAATGAATGGCTTTACCTGGGACAGGATGCTTTTGGTTGGTGTGAGAGACACGTTAGGCTCATGTCTCTGTTCAGGCACGACCGGCGAGCTGCATATTATAGCTGCAGACAACCAGGAAAAACAGAAAGAGTAAACGAGAGGCACAGAAATCAAAGAAGTGTACTATTACAGAGAACACTTAACCTATTAAAGGGGTCTTGTTTGTGCCAAGTAAGTATATGGTCTCTAAAAGGGAGGATATTACATCTGAGCCTATCTGGCTGCATCCTTTGTTATGCGGAGTCATCATTCTAGAATACCTACTGACTAACAGCCAAAAGATACCTAATTAGATTAGTTCAAAGACAGATAGGTTAATTCCCTCAACTATGCATTATGCCTGCTCCGCCTTAAGAGAAAATGTTGAGCGAAATACCAATGATTTCCGAGAAGAAATGTAAATAATATTGTACTGGGATTGAGCATAGCTTCCATGTTCCTCAAATTACCTCGTTTTGGTATCCTTGATTTAGAGTCTCCATTGCCTTCTTGACTGTGAAAAAAAGAAAAAAATACAACTTACGGTGTAATTTACTGTGAGAAATTTAAGTTACGATGTTGCCTCCTTTGAAAGAGAAATTTCTCTGTTTGAAGGTTCAGATTCCACCGTAATTGGGTGGTAATGGTGGGGCATTGTGATTAGGTTCCGTAATATTAATTTGTCTTGTAACAAGGGGCATAATGATAAGGCAGTGTTTTTGTCTGGTCTTTAGGTCTGTCAATCATTGGTCTGTAATTATTGTACAAGTGGCTTAGGGTATCAGTTTGTCTGACCATTGGTTAAGAATCTAGTACATGCATATCTAAACCCGCAAACCTGCACACATTACTCGCAAGCACTGTATGTTTGGGAAGAAAAGTGTCTGTATTAGAGAGGTGTCCTCATTTCAGGGGTGTCCTTAGAGAGGGGTTCCACTGTATATATATACCTGGAATGACTTGGTTGTGGACTGCTGGGAGCCATGTAGACGTAGGTGTCATCGTCAGAGGACGGGTGGTATGGAATCGTCTCGTAGTCTTCAAACGTTCTGTCGACTGCATTCTGAACGGCCCTCATCTCATGAGGCGGTAAGTAGCTCACGTTTGAGCTGATCGAAAATCCTCCTCCCCCGTCTCTCTGTGTCTCGTACCCATCCAGTGAAGCGCTCTTTTGGTGGAACGGAACATCTTGGAACGAGTTTCTCCGCAATTTCCTGGTACTGATATTCGGGGTCATCGAACCGTAGGGATACACCCAAGCGTCTTGAGAAAACCCCTGTCTACCCTCCGGGGGGCTAAATTTGCAGGGGGAGACCCAGACCGCTTCGGAGGGCCCCCTGGGGGAAGCATTTGCAGGGGGGCTGTATTTGTAGTCGGGACCGTGGCACTCTTGTTCAATCTCCGACAGAAGTTGGTCGATGGTTGGTGCCTGCGGGGAAACTTTGGGTAGAGTTGGGCTCCCAATCTCCTCGTAGGAGTTGGACAGGCTTGACTCTCGCGTCGACTGTGCTGCCTGCAGACGTGTGGGAGATGGGAAATGTGAATGGAGGTGTGAGTTTGTGAGGGATAAAGTGTGAATAGGAAACAGGGTGTGAGGGGTTAAGTGTGAAAGGGAGAGTGAGTGCGAGGGGTTAATTGTGAACGTGAGTAAAGGGACACCCTAGCCAGGCAGGAGGAAGTGAGTCCACACGAACTGCCTTATCTGTCTGCCAAGCATAAACACGGCCAATAGCCCCACCACTCTGGAGACGAGCCAACTCTTGTGCTGCATTACTTGCAACATACGCAGGCGGCCAAGTGACTCCCCACAGAAATAGTTGCGACTGAGTTGTTTGTTCAGTTGTTAGTGAAACTCAACCGACCAGCCTTCTCCCCCCACCCTAAGTCACTTCCTCCGTACAATGTTACAGTATCTACCTACACAGGCAGTATGTATGATGGCGATAGTAAAGGGTAGATCTCTTATCCCACTTAGTGGGTTGAGGAACCGATCAAACCTGTACTTGTAGACAACTGTAGGCATGCTCTTGTGTCTACTAATGACGTACAAGGGAGTCAGCACTCCCGGTTCCTTTGAAGTGCCCACTGTCTCATGCACTATTGCGAAATGCGAAGGTTGCTGACCTGAACTGCAGAAGTGAGGCCTGACAATGGAACCGAATTCTGCTTCCTGCAAGAACAGAGAGAGAGGGAGGCCAGCAGTAACGGATACTGAACTGAAAGGTTGCACATGCTACAGAGGAGGTTCAGAGAGAGGTGCTGATAGTGTCCAGGATGTGTCTAAGGAGGGGTTAGGGAATGGAATGACAGGAATGCAAGTCTAACAACCCTAAATCTGGACCACGAGTGTAGCATCAGGCTGGGGACACCTTGAACAAAGAGCATGTAGGAGAGCTTATTGTGCACAAAGGCACAGCAAAGGTATATACAAATCAACATGATTACACCCCTAGTCTTTGTTATCTGTGTGTCTCCCTGAACACTATACTAGAGCAAATGCAAGCCCCTATTGTCAAGCAAACACGTGTTTAGTATAAATTATGGACAGTGCCGTCTACACATCAATTAGGTAGGCTCACTTCACTCAATTATAGCTCACTTGTGAACAGAATGGAAGTTGAACCTCGCCGAGGCGCTGTTGGCTCTCTGGAGCCGAGGAGATGATTGGGACATGATTGCAGGGGGGCTCCCTTCGGCCCTCTTCCCAGTTGGTGTGCTTGACCTGCTCTCTGTCGGTGTGGGCGTCCTGCTTGACTTGGATTCAGTCATCGATCGCGACCGAATCTTCAATTTCTGTTGAAATTCACACAATTTTAAACACCTTCCTGCACATCACATGTATTGTGTTATGCGAATCGGGTGATTAATTACTACTCTTGGCCAGGACTGTACTGTACCAGCGCCAGATG